CTTATCTTAGATTTTATTGTCTTTAATTATACATATAGGATAGTAAAATAAAACATAAAATACTAACTAAATCTTAAAACATACTTTAGCTTAAAGAACTGGAGAGTCATTCATAATAACGTTTAGATAACTTTTGCACAAAAAACAAGAATTAGACAAGTAATATACTCTCTCTGTTTCAAAAAGATACATATTCTAGAAAAAACTTATGTTTCAAAAAGATACATTAATTGCATTTCTTGAAATCTTATTGGTTTAAAAATAAAATTATAAAAATTATGCATTAATTAAGTTTTAATACATTTTCTTAATATGTGTGAAAAAACTTAAAATGTGTATTATTCTGAAACTAGATCGATCGAATATCCGCAATAGCAGCCAAGTACGTAGGCAAGCCAGTCTCAAACTATCCACTTATGTCTCCACCTCCACTTCCTCCACGTCCTTTAGAACTCGCCATGGGAAACATTGGAGGAGATGTTTATGGAAACAACCCAACCGATCTCTTCAAGTCCATCACACCACCAACAGAATCTGACAAACCGTTGATCATCGACTTAGCCGTGGCTGCAATGGAAGAGCTCACGAGAATGACTCAAGTGGAGGAGCCTTTGTGGAAGAGTTTGGTTTCAGACGAAGAAGAATATGCGAGGACGTTTCCTAGAGGGATTGGACCTAAACCGGTTGGATTTAGAACCGAAGCGTCACGAGAAAGCGCAGTTGTGATCATGAATCATGTTAACATTGTTGAGATTCTCATGGATGTGGTAATTAATTAATAAACATTTTTTATCTTGCATATTATGAATTATATTATATAGTTTTAGAGTGTTAACATTTATATGGTATATTGCAGAATCAATGGTCGGTTGTTTTCGCTGGGATGGTGTCTAGAGCGATGACATTAGCTGTTTTATCGACTGGGGTTGCTGGAAACTATAATGGAGCTCTGCAAGTGGTAAGTTTTGAGTTTTACTCTCTTGTAATAATGTAAAAACCTAATAACTTGGAACTCAAGCAACCACTCTGTTTTTGTTAGATGAGTGCAGAGTTTCAAGTTCCAACACCGTTAGTCCCCACCCGGGAAACTTACTTCGCACGTTACTGTAAGCAACAAGCAGATGGTTCGTGGGCGGTTGTTGATATTTCATTGGATAGTCTCCAGCCTAATCCACCAGTTAGATGCAGGAGGCGAGCTTCTGGATGTTTGATTCAAGAGATGCCAAATGGATACTCTAAGGTAACCACAAATGAAAAATTTAGGTTTATGTATGGAATGAATGTAAATTCCATGTAACAGGTGACATGGGTGGAACATGTGGAAGTTGATGACAGTGGAGTTCATAACTTATATAAGCACATGGTTAGTACTGGTCATGCCTTTGGTGCTAAACGCTGGGTAGCGATTCTTGACCGCCAATGTGAGCGGTTAGCTAGCGTCATGGCAACAAACATATCTTCAGGAGAAGTTGGCGGTACAAAACATATTGCTTGTTTCACAAGTTATCTCTCATAATCAACTTAGAAGCAGAGTTATAGTGTACTATATTGATGAATGTGCAGTGATAACAAACCAAGAAGGGAGGAGGAGTATGCTGAAACTGGCGGAGAGGATGGTTATAAGCTTTTGTGCAGGAGTGAGTGCTTCAACTGCTCACACGTGGACTACATTGTCTGGTACAGGAGCTGAAGATGTTAGAGTGATGACTAGGAAGAGTGTGGATGATCCAGGAAGGCCTCCAGGTATTGTTCTTAGCGCAGCCACTTCCTTTTGGATCCCTGTTCCTCCAAAGAGAGTCTTTGACTTCCTCAGAGATGAGAATTCAAGAAATGAGGTAAGTCTTTTAGTTACTAGTTAATACTACTAACAAATTTGATCAGAGTCTTAATGAGAATTTTTGCAGTGGGATATACTGTCAAATGGAGGAGCTGTGCAAGAAATGGCACATATTGCTAATGGGAGGGATACAGGAAACTGTGTTTCTCTCCTCCGAGTGAATGTGAGTAGATTTGTTTTTAACTCGGTGTTATAATTTATATGATTAAGGCTTTATACTTTTGAATCTTTGTTTATGTGACAGAGTGCAAACTCTAGCCAGAGCAATATGCTGATTCTACAAGAGAGCTGCACTGATCCTACAGCTTCCTTTGTGATCTATGCTCCAGTTGATATTGTAGCCATGAACATAGTGCTTAATGGAGGTGATCCAGACTATGTGGCTCTGCTTCCATCAGGTTTTGCTATTCTTCCTGACGGTAATGCAAATGGTGGAGCCTCTGGAGGAGAAGGAGGGTCTCTGTTGACCGTTGCTTTTCAGATTCTGGTTGACTCAGTTCCCACGGCTAAGTTGTCTCTTGGATCTGTTGCAACTGTTAACAATTTGATTGCTTGCACTGTTGAGAGGATCAAAGCTGCTATGTCTTGTGAGACTGCTTGAAAAAAAAACACTCATTAGGTAGTTGCAGTAATAAACAGTTTGTAGATTTTTTGTTGTTAGGCCTTTATGTGATAATACTTGTTTGGTTGTTCTTGCAGGAAATAAGAAATGGAAATGAAGACAAAAGAGAGAGATTTGGGTTTGAAGAGAGTTTTTTTGGTGTTAAGCGGAGGAGTCAAGAGCGAACCTCACAAGATAGACCCATTGAGTAAGGTTATTTGTGTAGTGTTAAGTTTTTGCTCTGCTTATTTGTTGAAACTAAGCAGTCAAGAACTTTATACTTACAAGTGAAAATGCAAATAATGGTTTTAAGAGGTTCGGGAATTGACTTCCCCTGCAACATACTGGTTCAGAAATGTTAAAAGTTTAATTGTCAGAGATGCTTATAAACTTTTGTTTTTGTGTCACAGTTGTGTTTCTTCTTTCTTTCTTTCTGTCTTGTAGTTAAGACTTTGAAGTTTGTTTTTGCTTTGTAAGCCTATGGAAGTTGGTTTATTAAAAAGCTCACACTTAAGGTTACCTCTTAAGTTATGTAGCAGAGACTCCAAGCATGAATTTGATTTTAACCAAGGAAACACTATCATTAAACGTTGCTGAAAGAACAATGGCTTAAATAGAGTTCCAAAATATCAAAACAATGTCATAAAGAAAAGAGTTAAAAGACTTAACGAAATGAAAAAGCCACCCTCAGGCAAGGCCAAAACAGGGGATCTTTTGGTCGAATGAGAAACCAGACCACATAAAATCAATACCTCTCCACTTCAAGTTATCTAAAGACGCATAAAGAAAAAAAGGACAAACCATCCCCAACGAGCAAATTTACCTCTTCTAAGCCAGCTTTCTCCTGGGCATAATAGTATATCTCTTCCCAACAGATCCAGCACTCTTGGTTGAACAAGAGACTAAACCACGAAGAACAGCCAGAATTCCAATACCCATGAAAGGCACATACATCATTAGCAACCTCTCAGATGCCTTCCCTGAACCAATCATCTCTCCCAGGATTGCAGCCTAAAAAGATCCACAGAGACAATAACATCAGAAAAAAAAGAAGATACACACACAGTTCTCAAACCATACGTCCACAAAAAAACGCAGAGCAGATATAAACATAAATTACACCCCAAAAAACAAACTATGCAGTTCAAAATCAAATCACCATTTCAAGGAAAATAAATATCTTTTCCACCAAGAAAACACTGCTAACCCTAATTTATATATCATTCCCACTGACAACATTAAGCATTACATTACATACTCGGTCGAGCGAGTCTAGTATGACGGTTATACCCGGTCAGAAGATTAATTACGACCTTATAGCGTATCTAGGATATGAACTCTATACCATGTTAGATTCGGATTTTTTTTTTTACCTTTCAATTTAAAACCAATTGGTGATAAATGCATCGACCCTAACCATTTATATATATTATTAATCTGATATTGAATTTTTTTTTTATTTTTTTTTTGATAAGATGTGCTATTGAATTCTTGATGTCTGGATATTAATCTCTAATAAGATCTCAAAATCCAATCTACAGACTATGCATTTGTATATAGTAACTATACGTTATCTACTGTTCCCTTATTGTATACCATGGAAGCGACGAGGGAAGCTCCGTAAATCAAGCACGTGGTACCGAACCACGATTTTCCGGCGAGGATCGCGTAGACGTTAGCGATCGAGAGCGGCCACAAGAACACAAGCTCATGCCAGACGAGTCCGACGAGGAAATGCGGCTTCTCCATTAGCAAGTAGTCTCCGAACTCGGCGATGTAGCTTGTTTTCAGATCGGTGAGAAACGCCGGGAAGATTGATTTAGGAAGCGCCGTTTGTCCGTCGATTAGCGGCGCGATAACCGCCATTAGAGCGAAGAATAAGAAGAGGATCGCATCGATCAGCTTCCCGAAAGCTCCCATCTTCTTCTTCTTCTTCTTCGTCTTCGTCTTCTCCGATTGATTCGAAATCTGAGTTCCGAAAGCGTCGTTGACTATATAACTAACTAACTGAACAGATTATTTTAATTTTATTGGTTTACTTAACCGAACTATCAATTAACAAACAAGAAGAAATAAATCTCCGGTTCAGTCAAATTGTTTTTCCGGTTCAGTCAAATTGTTTTTCCGGTTCAGTCAAACAGTATTTCTTTCTTTGGGTTGATGAGTAATAGGCGGGAAAATTGCATATTTCAACATGAATTTTACTAGTCGTGCATTTTACTAACTAAAAGTAGAAAAATACTCCATGATTTTTTAAAATCGTGCTTATACATAACTCGTTAAATTTGTTACTCATCCATAAATTTATCAAAACGACGTCATTTTAGATTAATTTTATAAAATTAAAAAAATACTACATAAATTGGCAAAATCATGCTTATATATATATATTAATTATCAAAGATGTTATTCATCACTGAATTTATCAAAACAATACTCTTTTGGATAAATTCTGTAAAATTAATTTAAAAATACTACAGAAACTCTTAAAATTGTGATTCTTTGATCATCAAAAGTATTAGTCATTTGTTAATTTATCAAAACAATGTCAATTAGTATAAATTCAAGATGAGCTTTTATTACATATCAGAATAAGATTTACATTTTTTTCTCTGTTTTTTTTTTGTTCCTTGAACTTTTGAACTCTGCTATTACAAAATCTTATGATAAATTTTATCTACCTCCCTAAGTTTATGTTAAAACAAATTATTAAGCTCTCTCTATCTAATTTAAGGAATTTCGCTATTATGTTGAGAATGTGAACTCCCAGCTCCACTTTGGCTACTTTTGAGTTTCTTGCTACTCTTCTGTTTCAGTATCTCCTTGATCTCTGCTTCCCTCTTATCCACAATCTTCACCAACTCCTTGAAACTCGGTGCTCTTAAACCTCTCCCTGATCTAGATGCCTGCTCCGTCACTTCACTTGCCCTTTCCTCATCCCCAGTATCTGGTAATAACTTCTGGTACTGCCAGAACACCCTCCAGAAGAAGACAGTAAGTGCTATGAAACAAGTGATGCCACAGATAAGGAAGAGCCCCCAGAAACTCTTGAGTGAAAGCTGAGAGTTCTCACTGTTTGAGATCTGCATAGAGCATTCATGCTTGTAGTTAAGCCATTTCCTGTGGATTTTCTCCAGCTCCCCTTCTTCAGACAGCTGCAAGATAGCCGTTGACATGTCTACAGCTAAAGGAGAGTCTCTCTGGAACGCGAAACCCCAGCCTGTGCGTGTGAACTCTTGTCCTACTGTACGGAACTTGCAGTTGCTGTTTGTTAAAAGGACTTCTATGTAAGGAAGCTCGTCTACAATGGCTGCAACACCTCCAGCTTTGGGACCAAGTTGGAGAGCAAGAAGGTAGTGTTCTTCGTCTCTTAGTGGAACAATCCTGTGTGGAGATATGTTAAGCTCGTTGATCAGATAGTTTCTAGCGAATGTACCGTCTTGAACTCCTATTGGTTCGTTGCTTGTTATCAAGCTATCTATTCCTTCTATCCGAGATGTCAGTTGTTGAACGGTTAGGATTGAAGTGAGACTAGCTGTGTAGCTTGAGTTGATGATCAGAACCACGAATAGCCATATGATCAACACTAGTCTCCCCAATGAGCTCACCGTGTTCTCCCCTGAAAAGATCAAAAGTTAAAGTAATGCTTCCACTATGAATCCACTGATCTTGTTGAGAGAAACTATACTTACTATGAGAGAAGAACATCGTTGAGAAGCTAAACCAGAAGATGGTGATGAGTTGACGCCTAGGAGGGCCTCTGAACTCATGGTTAAAGCGGTGTTCAAGAATCCAGACAATAGCTCCAACGAGTAGAAAGAAGGCTCCAGTGACAGCCCACATCTCTATAGTGAATGGTTTCAGGAATGACCAAGGACTAGACTTAGCTTCCTTAACCGGAGCCACCACCACAAGCCCTGACTCTATAAACGGCTGTGTGAAATCTACAAACCTTGTTCTGTTTGTAGTAATCGTTAAATCTCCAACCGCTACATCAAAGTTCTGCAGAAGAAAAAACACAGGTTTAACATCTTCATTGATCAGATTTGAGTAATATAAATACTTACATCTGCAACAACTTCATTGATGAGATGGTCATAAGAAGGATTCTTCTTCCCATCTCCATATAATATATAGTTTCTTGGAACAGGATATGGAAGCAACTCTAACGCAGCTTCAAAGACATCAATGCAATAGCCTCTAACACCAGGTGGGTTCTTGTCCTTAGAGACGTAATCTTTATAGCTCACACGGTTAGGCACTGCTATTTTAAGCGGCTTTCCGTTATTAGGAAACACCCAACCACGAGGAGGCTTAGTCACTTCCCCTGGCCATATGATTCCATAGAGACGTTGGTTTGCTGTAGATGTGTTTGGAGGCTTAGAGTACAACGTCTCTGGAGCCACCACAGAGAGACCTGAATGGTTAGACCAGTAGCCAACTCTCCTTGGACCTGTGCCTTCTATGTTTAAAACTTCATAAGCCGGGTTAACCCGGTTTCTCTCTGAATCAAACCGGATAGGCCCGGTTACACCAGTCTGATTCATCCCAAGAATGATCTCAAGAAGCTTCTCTCCTTCTTTGAACACACTTAGTGCAGATAACTGAATACTACTACTGTTTGTCTTCTGCAGATTCGGATCTTTGGAGAACGTTACTTTGTTGTTTCCCTTGAAGAAAACATCAAGAGCACGAGCAACCAACCAAACGGAATCATAAGCATACAATGCATAAGAGTTGAATCCATCTTTTGGTCTAAGACTCTTCCATCTCTCCATAAACTTTCTCTTCACACTACTCTCAGTTGTGTAATGACGAAAAGCAACCACTCCTTGCAAGAGATCCATCGTCTCCGTATCCACAGGAGCCAAAGAGTCCAGAGCTGTAGGTAGCCAGTCCGTTGCAATCCAAACATAACCACTCCCCATCATTCCAAGAGACTTAGCCACAGAGAAAACGTTTAAACCAGAGTCAGGGTTCACATGGACAACGTAAACTCTAGAAGCCATGAGGTTAACAGAAACCAACAAGTCTTTGATGGAGTTAGTATCTGCACCAGGTGTGATAGCAGCTTTGTGAGAGATCCTCGCGCGTTTCTTGGCCAATGCGTCGCCAAGAACTGATACCCCGTTGCGACCACACTCATCATCAACGAATATGGCAATGACTTGTCTCCATCCGGAGTAGGAAATGAAGTCTGTGATGGCATACATTTGGAAGTAATCGTTCTGAGTGGTGCGGAGGAAGTAAGGGTATTGGAGAGAGGAGAGCGTTGGATCCGTTGCTGCGAATGATAAGAGAGGTACGTGAAGCTCATTAGCTACGTAGGAGATCATGTGAGCTATGCTTGAAGATTGTGGACCAATGGCTGCAACTACTTTGTTTTCCATCAGCTGCAAAGCTACACCATAAAACAAAATAAAACATAACCATCAGTTTCACACATTAGTTGGCCCTTTTGCTACATTATTAATAAGAGAGAACACAGTGTATTATACCTCCCATGGTGCCAATAAATCCACTGCAATTAGAGTCTTGAAAGACAATGTTAAGCTTTATACCGTTAAGTACGGTTTGGTCAGCGTTGACATCATCCATTGCTGCTTTAAAAGCTGGTTTAGCCGCTCTTCCGATGAAGGAGTCATAAGTGAAGAGAGCTCCAATGTTTACAGAGCTTGGCCTCTGTAATAATGGAGGTGAAGCAGAAGAAGAAGAGGAGTTTCTTGAAAAATCACTTTTACCAGCACATTCTTCTAGAGAGACCCAAAAGATAGAAACACATAGCAACACAATCCTTATTGCTGTCACCATGGAGACTCCTCTCAACATCAAGAAAAATCAATTTTTTGTTAGAAACTTCCAGTAAAAAGCAGTGATTTTTCTTCCCCTGGACTTATGTAATCATTTGATTATTTGAAATGACACCTGGAAGATAAACAATTCGTTAGTTCAGAGCATGGATCAAAATCAAGATTTAACAAACAAACAAAAAGATCAGAACTGGTCCAGAAAATCTAATGAAAGAAGGCAAACAAACCAAGAAATCAGGACATAGATTCTGTAGAGATAATGGTGGATACATACTTGTGTGTCTGTATACATACTTATGTGTATTATATATAGTATGGGAGACCTTTGGATCCTGTGGAGATTGGTGTGCGTACATGTGAAACTAGGACTGAGAAATAAAGAAATGTAATAAGAGGGCCATCTTAAAGATGTTTTGCAAAAAGAAGCAAAAAAGTGCAATTAATAATTCAGTGAACAGAGAATCATATGAGGATGGCAGTGATATATGTCAATTAATTCAAAAGAAAAAACTTATTCTTCACACAAACCAAATCATTAAAACATAAACGAAACTAATAATAGCGGTGATATTCCAAATTTGATTAAAATAAAAAGCAAGTAGATGACCTTAATTTTCTGCAGAACATGGCAGTGGCCAGTGAGTGGTTGGAGAATGAATGATGTAATAGTACATCCTTATAAGTTTCCAACTTTTGACGATTTTATTTTTATTTTTATAAAACTTGACTAAACTCTCATTGGAAAATATTATATTTTAATTTAATTTAATTGAAGGAAGTTTCTTTGAGATCTTTGAACCAAAACTTTGGAGGTAAATTGACAAATCCAAGCTCAATCAACAAAACAGAAAAAGAAAAAATAAAGCAAACCAAAATCAATATGCAACTATATTAATAAGAAGCAACCTTGGAATAGAGACGTGCAACAAACTTGAATCAGAAATCAGTATGATATTCTGGAGTAAACGAGTGAGTTAACAGTGGAGCACAGGAAAAGGGAGAGACAGAAGAAGAAGAGGAAACAGGACAACTGTTACTCAAGCTCAAGCAAAGAATAATCAAAATATTCTTTCTTTTTCTTCTTTTTTCTTATTTGTGTCTCGTATTTACGTTTTCTTTTGTTTGGGAGTGTGCCATTTCTGGTGTGGTCAGTTTAAATTTAGGCCAAAGTGTGGTGGGGGTATTCATGCTTTTCTTCTCTATTCAAACTATTGGAGAATCAAGTTTTTTGTTCTCTTAATTTTTCTTTTGTCCCCTTCTCTAATTGATCATTTGCTTTCTTGGTTAAAAGGAAGGAGTGTTAACAATTATTTTCCATACTGATATTCAAATTTCCAAATAATGAGTACTTTGCTATTGTTATTTGATTAACCACATGGCAAAAGCTTTGAAAGTGTGGATGTGACAACCTAATTGCTTGAAGAAAGGAAACTGCTCCTCAATGTTTGCTTATTAACTCCACACTTAAAAGTTAAACAAGGTCAAGATATATTTTCAGCCATATATATTAAAGTTGTTATGCTATAAGGTTTGGGACCCATAAGTTTTCATATGATAAAAAGGTGCATGAAACACATGGACTTTACTATTCTTTGTAGCTTTAATAGATTTGTTCATAAAAGAATATTATAAAGTAGAGCTCCATTTGTTATTAGTTGAAACTTAGTATGTTACTATTTTACATGCCATTGATCCCACGCTATTGATCTTTTGGGAATCTCATAACACAACTTTTTTATAATAAGAGATGACACGAAAATAAATCAGGACCAGTAAATATAGAATTCAGTTTTTTTCTTCTTTTTATCGATTTGTTATTTGTATTTTTCAGAATGTGGGGCCCTTATCATCTTCTATTTCCTTGTGTTTATTTTCTCTGTTAGATTACAGCCGTGTCTTTAACGTATGTATGAGTATGACGATAAAGAAAAAAATAGGTTTAAAACCTACGTTGCACGGAAGCTTCATCGGATGTGCGCTTTCCGCTTCGGAATCGGAGTTAGAATCGGAACCTCGTGAAAGCTTGCGGAATCTCGATTCCAAAACGCTTCTAAAATAATCTATATAAAACACGTTGAAAATTTATGATTCTATTTTGGAATCATACTTCCAATTTTTTTTTTAAAAAAAATATCATATATAAATAAATGAAATATAAAATCATTTTTATGTTTTTACAGTATATAATAGTATATATAATGAGAATAAATATATGTAAATATCAAAATTAGTACTATAAATCATATGTATGCAGTGTTTTTACGATATATATATATATTCAAATATGTTATACCAATTATTTATAAAATATTAAAAATAACTAAGTGGTAATATTTGTTTAAAAATTTAATTTATCTGTATTTTCATAATTATAAATGTATATTTGGATATACGCTTTCAACACATATCCGCTTCTTAATTTTTTCAAAAATCTCGATTTCATGTTTCCATACGATTCTGTTTCCGTGCTTCCGCTTCCGTTTCCATGTAAACTAGTTTAAAAACCCCCGTATAATATTTGATCGTGTTGTTGGGTCTTTAAATCACATTGGGGACGTAAAAATGGACTGTTGGGCTCCGTTGAGAATGGTCTCACATTCGCGATAAATTTATAACGGGCCTTATAATAGCTATACGTAATGGGCCTTGTAATAGGTACATATTAATGGGCCCTAAAAGATATACATATGCAGAGGACAAGTAGTGGCTGGATAAGTCTGTTTCGGATAAACACTCTCTTCTCTCCATCCTCCTTCTGGAGCAGAGCTCCGTCGTCAATCTTAGCAATGGCTTCTTCTGTCGTCACTTCTTTTCAACCCAGGTACTTCTTACATAGTTAAAACCTCTATGTCGGCTATTATAAGGTTTCAATTTCTTAGTGTAATGAGTTCTTATGTTAGTTTTATCTCTGTAATTGTAGATTAGCCATGGAAATTGAAATCTCTGCCTTGTTATTACATTAGCTTGGTTCCATTACAGTTCCTGTTTGTTTATTTGTTGGTTAAATATCCGGTAAAAGTTTAGACATGTTTTGTTTGTTTGTCTGAAGATATATCTATTATCTTTGTTTAGGTCAGCATTTTTGGGAGACAGAAACGTGTTCAAGGTCTCAACGACGCCGTTTGCTCAAGTGGGTTTCTCCAGGAAGACCATAGAGTGTAAGGAATCAAGGATAGGGAAGCAACCCATCGCTGTACCATCTAATGTAACCATTGCATTGGAAGGTCAAGACTTGAAAGTCAAAGGTCCATTAGGAGAGCTTGCTTTAACTTACCCACGTGAAGTTGAGCTCGTCACAGAAGATGCTGGTTTCTTGAGGGTCAAAAAAACCGTCGAAACTAGAAGAGCTAACCAAATGCACGGCCTTTTCAGGTTACAACCTTTATTATATTCAATTGGTTACAAAGTTGTTAACTTTTAATCAATTGGTTACAAAGTCTTGAACCTTTAGAGGTTGTTTTGTTGCTGCTAACCCTTTTGTAACTCGTGTGTTAAGGACGCTTACGGATAACATGGTAGTGGGAGTATCAAAGGGATTTGAGAAGAAGCTGATACTAGTGGGAGTTGGTTATCGTGCTACCGTGGAAGGGAAAGAGCTGGTTCTGAATCTTGGGTTTTCCCATCCGGTTAAGATGCAGATACCGGATAGTCTCAAGGTGAAAGTGGAGGAGAACACAAGAATCACTGTGAGTGGATATGATAAGAGTGAGATTGGGCAGTTTGCTGCAACGGTGAGGAAGTGGAGACCTCCGGAGCCATACAAGGGTAAGGGAGTGAAGTATTCAGATGAGATTGTGAGGAGGAAAGAAGGCAAAGCTGGAAAGAAGAAGTGATTTCTTGTTGTTATTGTTGTGTATTTTACTTTACATGTTCTCCTTTATATGTTTATGAAAAACTAAAATTGTGAAACAATTCGCCATGATTCAGTCAGTTATTGTACAACTACAAACTACTGAGAGAGAAAATGTTTGGTAAAAATAAAAACAAATATTATTTGCAAATTCGTAAAATGGTTAATATATCTCTAATCCGGATCCAAAAAACTCGAACTAAAATTTGAAATCCAAACAGATATTAAGTTAGGAGAGATTGGATTTTCGAATTAGAATGGATAATATCAAAATCCGAATAGGTATCCGAAGATAACCGAAAATATATTCCCAATTTAATTTTCTTATTTTATCAAAATATTTATATTAGTGTTATTCATTATTCAAATTTCAACATCAGATAATAGACATGGGCAAAGTGATTTAGTATTCACTTTTAAGTATGTCAAATTTCTTGTTTCATATATTAATAAAAGTTATATTTTAAAATCTTTAAGAAAATAACTAAATTACAGTCTTTCTGTTTTCAAAGTTTTATCTTAAAACCTCTTAGTTGTTCAAAGAGTTGAACTTTGGGCCTCTTTTATATTGTATGGCCTTCTAAACGTAATACCATCTATAATTACCCATTGGGCTTCTTTAATCAAATTGGGCCGACAAAAAAATACATACATAACCAAATAAAAAATTTCTCTCATTGTTCTCTCTAGCTCTTTTGACTGTGAAGCGAACCAGAGAAGAGAATAAGCAACGAACAATGTCAGAGCCTAAAACAAAATACGATCGTCAACTCAGGTATAAACCCTAAACCCCCTTCTCTCTCTTTAATAATCCAATCTCTCTTCTTATTCAAAATCGAATCGCAGGATATGGGGAGAGGTAGGGCAAGCTGCTTTAGAAGAAGCGAGCATCTGTTTACTCAATTGTGGCCCAACTGGCTCCGAGGCTTTAAAGAATCTCGTCCTCGGTGGAGTTGGGAGCATCACGATCGTTGATGGATCTAAAGTCGAAATTGGTGACCTTGGAAACAATTTCATGGGTATTGATTTTTTTATTTTTTTATTTTTTGGAGATTTTGATTGTGTCTTTATGTGTGGATTTGTTTTTGTTTTTTGTTTTTAATGATGTGAAGTGGATGAGAAGAGTGTTGGTGAATCAAAAGCGAAGACTGTTTGTGCGTTTCTTCAAGAGCTTAATGATTCTGTGAAAGCTAAGTTTATTGAGGAGAGTCCTGATGCGTTGATTTTGAGTAATCCTTGTTTCTTCTCTAACTTCACTCTCGTCATTGCCACTCAGGTACCCTTTGATGGATTTCGACTACTTGTTGTTACATTCTATGCTATGAAAGTGTGTTAGATTGTTCATTATTGGCAAAGGTTTAGGTTTTTTTTTTGGTGTGCGTTGGAGTATGAATCATGATGTGCCTTTTATTCAATGGTCCTTTAGTGAAAATTGCTATGTTAAGTCTTTTTTTGTTCACCACGCGTTGGTTTTTTGTAGCTGGTGGGAGATTCAGTGGTGAAACTTGATAGAATCTGTCGAGAAGCTAACGTCAAGTTGGTTTTTGCTCGCTCTTATGGTCTTGCTGGCTTTGTTCGTGTCTCTGTTAAGGTAATAATACCTTTCTTTACCCGTTTTTTGGGTAGATAACTTGTGGATTAGTGTTAGTATGCTGTGGTTAGGAGATTGGCAAGTTAGAAATATGCTAAGTTGATTTTTTTTTCTTTGTTTATCAGGAGCACACCATAGTTGACTCGAAGCCTGATCATTTTCTTGATGACCTTCGCTTGAATAATCCGTGGCCTGAACTCAAGAGGTACAATCACGTTGCTCTGGCATCTTTTAACCTTGTGCTTATGGATAAACAACACTGGGGGATATGTGACATTCTGAATTATTTATTGACTGCAGCTTTGTGGAGACCATTGATTTAAATGTATCTGATCCAGTAGCACATAAGCACATACCTTACGTTGTCATTCTTGTGAAGATGGCTGATGAATGGACTCAATCCCATAGTGGTAATCTTCCTTCGACCAGGGAAGAGAAAAAAGAGTTTAAGGTGTAGTTCTTTTTTGTTTGGCTACTTTGCAAGTTCATTAGCTAGCTTCTGTTTTTCTGGGTTCCTTGTTCTAATCTATCTTAATCCTTCAAATCATAGGATTTTGTTAAGTCTAAGATGATATCTATGGATGAGGATAACTACAAAGAAGCCATTGAAGCCGCCTTCAAAGTTTTTGCTCCTCGTGGAATCAGTAAGTTGATATCTTGTGTAATGTGGTAACTAGCAGGAAGCTTTGTCATGGGTCAAATCACAGTATTCCTGGTTTCTGTTCCAGGCTCGGAGATTCAACAAATTAGCAATGATACTTGTGCTGAACCCACTTCAACTTCCTCAGATTTTTGGGTGATGGTAGCGGCTCTGAAGGTTTGAAACTAGAAACTTTCTCTGCCAAACTCTTACTCATTTTGATTGTTTCATAATACTCATACATCACCACCTGCAGGAGTTTGTCTCGAACGAAGGTGACGGAGAGGCACCCCTTGAAGGCTCTATACCAGATATGACATCGTCAACCGAGTAAGTACAACTGACTCGATGTCACTGAATCTCATCCGCAATCTATTTTTAAGATTACTAACGTAGCTGTATTGTTACTTTTTTGAAGGCACTACATCAATTTACAGAAAATCTATCTAGCGAAAGCCGAGGCTGATTTTCTCGTCATGGAGGAACGAGTTAGGAATATTTTAAAGAATATCGGTAGAGATCCGAGTAGCATCTCAAAACCAACAATCAAGAGTTTCTGTAAGAATGCAAGAAAACTCAAAGTGAGAATACTAAACTTAATAAGTATTGTTGTGTCAGTGGTTTACCCATTACTTTTAAAGTAGTATCAGAAACATATGTTTTGGCTAACTACAATATGTGATTTGTAGGTATGCAGATATCGTATGGTAGAGGAAGAGTTCAACAATCCTTCTGTAACCGAAATTCAAAAGTGTTTAGCGGACGAGGACTACAGGTGCAAATTTCTTCATATGAACACAAAAGCATGAGTTGATTTGGAAAATGACGTTGCTATGGAACGCTTGCTGCTTTATTAGTTTCATGATATTGCAAAACTGAAACATTTAGTCCATCTTAGGCTTATATAGCATCAAGATAGATTCTCGTTTTAGTCCAAACCAATTCTAGTGTTGCCTGTGGAAGCCAGTTGTTAGCTCTTATACTAATGTTGTTTACCGTCGCAGTGGTGCAATGGGGTTTTATATCCTTCTTAGAGCTGTGGACAGATTTGCTGCCAACTATAACAAGTTTCCTGGCCAGTTTGATGGGTAAGAACACTCAAGCTAAAATGTATGTCCTGAACAAGTGCTCCTTGTTTGTCTATTATTAATATGGACTTTGTTTTTGGTAGAGGGATGGATGAGGACATTTCTCGGTTAAAAACTACTGCCTTGAGTCTCCTTACTGACTTGGGATGTAACGGCTCAGTACTGCCCGATGATCTTATCAATGAGATGTGTCGCTTTGGTGCCTCTGAGCTTCATGTGGTTGCTGCCTTTCTTGGAGGAATCGCGTCTCAAGAAGCCATCAAGGTTCGTACTTCCTTTTCATAACTCCAAAACTTAATTGTTTAAATTCACTAGCTTAAAGAGATGACTGAACTTGTTACTGTGTGTGTATCTATCTATTTTTGTATGCTGCAGCTTGTCACAAAACAGTTTATTCCGATGTTGGGGACTTACATCTTCAATGGCATTGATCACAAGTCTCAGTTGTTGACACTGTAGAAGAGCTTCACTTACTTATTGGCTTGAAGCAGAGAGAAGAGCTTTTCTTATATCCTTTTATTTTCCTTCACTGAGTTTTGAAAAAAAAGCTGTTCAAGGACGATTCAGCCGGCATGATGTTGTGTGGAGATGTTCTGAAAGTTCCACATTTAGGAAGTTTTTCATTTGTGTGACATTAACCTGATTGAATAAACATACAAAAATATCGGTCCACATGATTAGTCGGCAGAAGGTTTTATGATGGTTTTAATCACAAACGACAATAATTTGAGTTATTTTTTAACACCATTTACATCAGAAGTTATTTTGTCAAGAAAATGGGGTCAGTGATTACGAATTAGGATCAATTAAAACGGAATATTAAAACTGTCTAAGAAAAGAAAAGAAGGAAAAGATAGGAGCCACAAATACAATGTGGATGCCATAAAGACAATTAGCAGTGGGTGTGGGGTTATGAAAAGAAGAAAAAATGCATGAATAATAAAGGCCATATAAGCTTGGTGGGTTCCCTGGATACTACAAATGGCATTTCGTTGTCGATGTCTTTGAGTTTATTCTAATATGCATATAGATAGGATGTGAAATAGTCTTGTAAACGTTCCAATGTGAAACATCTGTCTTTCCATTTGCATTTGATTCCACAAACAATCATCACCAATTAGGAATTTTTAATCTAAAAGCAATCACCACCCATTGTGAATAAAAAATTATTTACAGTATACTGTTTGTGAATGCACTTGGCTATTGACACTATTGATATGAACATTTGAAACATTCAAAATATCCATTTTTGTGTGTTTAGTGTAACTTGTTTTATTTTTATGTAAAGCAACCAAAATGAAATTTCGTATCTCTATGTTGAAATTATGTTCTCTAAAGGACTAACAAAACTAATGCGTCTTTAGCAATTTAATTCTTCTTTAGGATTGAAGCTTCAGTCAAGACCATATTTTGCTCATATATGTTTAAAAGCACCTATATACTAAATTAAAAAGGGAATAAGAATAAATCCAAATAAATGTAGATTTGATAAGAAAAGATTATTATAAAATGGTTGAGAAAAGAAAGTTGGCTCTAAAAAAGGAGTAGCAACAAGAAGCAGATCGATGGATGATGGGAATGGGATTGTCAGCTTTAAAGGGGTTTGCTTGAAGAAGAGAGTGACCAAACTTTGAAACTGAATTAGGTAAAGTGACAGTCTCCTCTTTCAAGCAAAGCACCTAACTTCTAAATCTACATACCCACCCATTTCATTGTTTCTCCAATATACCAAATCAAACCAAACATAACCGATTTTGTAAACTAATCAAGTGGCCGGTTTACAGATTAGTAGACCAATCGATTGGTATTAATCATTGTTTTTTTGTATATTTTAACGTACAAGGAGCACTCGACTTTTGGTCCTTGTAACACGTAGCTCTTAAACCGGCCGGTTGGAAGGTTTTGGTTTATGATTGGAATAAAAGTGACATTTCAGTCAACCGAACCGTACATATTGATTATGATACTACTGAACGTCAATGTCGGTTGCGAACGGTGTATACTTAAATAACACTCTCCTTTTCGCTGGATTTTTTTCATTTTTACTTCACAATCATTTCGCTGAATTATTGGTGGCCATACACACGTATTAAAGTATGCATGTGTCTACACCACTTTTATGGTTATGTAAGTTAATTTTGATTCTTTTGACTTCCTCTTTCAGACACTAATAGACATTATAATCGAGTGGCTAATAACAGAGACCATACTATTTGTGGAGAATATGAAATTTGGTATAATATTATCAGCCTTAATTTTATCATCATTAAACTCAAACCAGTATAATGTACGTTAGCTGTTGACACACATATATCTTATTCATGTTTGTGATTTTAGTAAAGATAATTATAACTATTCAACTATTACACTTTTAAAAAGATTGATACATTGTCTATACATATATAAATGAAAAAAAAAACGATAGCTAACATGTATTAAAAGACAAACATGCTTAAAATACAACCATGTTGCTTTGATTAACAGCTATTATGACACACAGACACACCAAACACGTTGTACTTGACCACCATCACATTCCCAGATTATAGCACTTGCTTATAATTAAGCATAAAAAGACCACATAAATAGTTTCCCTCGTCCATATCCACCAGATACAAAAAAAAAACATCAAGGACAGATCTGAAGCTTTAGTAATTATTGACATTTAAATAATTTTGGATAACATTGATCCAATCAATAAATTACAGTCTCGTCTCGTTGCTATTCAAATAAACTAGCACCGACTTCTTGAATGATCACATGCCATGAGGCATTAGCACAACCATCGATGGAATATATTACGTCAAGAAAACAAAACTAAAATCTATTAGTAATTTTTTTTTCACAGTTAAGTTTAGAATAGTGTGGGATTTAAAATGGGTATAACGTAACCAGAGATACCAAATTAAAAATGGTCTAAAAGTTTTAATAATTAAATACCATGTGTGTGTTTGTGTTTCATACTGAAACTTTCAGTAACGACATACATGCATGTTCCCTAGGAGTTAAATGTGTTTATAAACCAGTTCTAAGCTGAAATTCATAATACTAAATCTTAGAAGTGTCATTGGGAATTGAAACTTACTCGTGGCATCAACTGATAAACCGAATTTAGTTAATTATATTTAGCCCTCAAGAAGATTTGAATCATAATCACTCTACTAAACTAACGTATCAAAAATATTACGACTGACGATAAACCATGCAACCAATCATTCAGGAGATGCTTAACCCTCCTAAGTAAATCAACAGGGACATACTTAAATTAGTTTACAAAGTTAAATTAAAGTATCCATATCCACACAAAAAGAATGATGAACTATTACTCGCAAATGCATGAAAACAAAGAAGTAGACCGAGAGACAGATCGATCGTCGTCATTCGTCAATGCATGTGGTATCATTTTGGACATAAGTTACACAAACTCATGGTTTTGTAACATTTCATGATGACACGTGGAAAAAGCTCGTGAGGCGGGACCCACGACTAGCATACAAGGTGCAGTGAGCTTGTTGATACAAAACGGAAAGCATCACATGTTGTATCAGTACCAGTCGCAGAATCTCTGATGAACTGAAATGACCCGACTAAAATAGTAATAACTATCTTTTTTCAATATTTTATTTTTTTCTTAAAGCCATTTGAAAATATCCTTCAAGTCTATTGGACAAACATGTCTATACAGACATAAAATTTAAATGTTTTTATGTTTTTTTTTTTGAAACACAAGATATGGACATTTTATGGCACCTAAAAAAAGCTCACTCCACCAAGATATATGAATGAAATATCTTAATCAATTAAATTATATCATATACATACAGTACAATTAATGACTTTGATCGATACTATGCGTTTGAATATATTCATGGAAAAAAACGAAATCACGGTCGAACGTATTTATCTTTATTCGATGATCCATCGAATCGAATAGTCAATTTTATATTTACTAAACGAATTTAACTCCCAACCCAACTCTGAATAAACGTGGTGAGGACCAGCTCTGGTCTAGAGAGTAAAGACTCAAAGTCAAACCGATTTCAATGCCACTACTTCCAATATTGTCAATATCTAACACATGCCGTATGTGAGACATACCATGTATATACATAGCTTATAGGCTTTATACATGTTAGCTGGAGCAACAAATAATTACACAATTAAAAAAAAAAAAAGGTCAAGTTCTTAACAAGGACATTTAGGTAAATTCACACCAAACTTGGTTTCTGTTTAATAAATAGAAAACTGAGCGGTTACGAAGTCGTTCTGATTTCGTCTCCCCCTTCTCTTTAACGTCCTCTCTCTTCTTCAAACAAACATCTCAGAGAGAGTAACAGAGACTATAAAGATTCTTCTACTTTGTCACGATCGTCGAGCTGATTTAGAGTGAACGATGAAGCTCATCTTCTCGAGATAGCTACGAAGAGTTCTGTGAATCTTTATTTTTTTTTTACCTTTTTAGTGAAATATAAAATGACGACGAAGATGAAAGGAGGAGGAGGAGAGCATGCTTCTAGAAGCAGCTTCACGTCTCGTAAATGGACGTTATTACTCTGTTTAGGAAGCTTCTGCGTTGGAATGTTTTTCACCGATCGGTAACTTCCTTTTTTTAACTGATTCTTTTTATTTGATCATTAAAGTGTGTTCACATGTTCATGTTGTTGTTGCAGGATGTGGAATATTCCGGAATCTAAAGACATGTCTCGTCCATCAGTAACCGAAGCTGAGAGATTAAAACTCATATCTGAAGGCTGCAATCCAATATCTGTGAGTGTTTGTTTTGTTTATAATCATCTTTTTTTGAGTTTTATGAGCTGATTAGAGTTTATTTTGTTTATAATCATCTTTTTTGAGTTTTATGAGCTGATTAGAGTTTTCTCTTTAGCTTTACCAGAAAGAAGTTAAAAGAGATCCTCAAGCTTTGTATGGACAAGTCTCCAATACACACAATGCTATACAGTGAGACTTTTTAATTACGGAGTTTTTTTTCTGGGACTTGTGATGGTTAATAACGTTTACTTTTGTTGTTGTTGTTGTTACTTGCAGGACATTGGATAAGACTATTTCGAGTTTAGAGATGGAGTTAGCTGCTGCGAGGTCAGTGCAGGAGTCTTTAACAAACGGTGCTCCTGTATCTGATGATATGGGGAAGAAGAAGCAGACGCAGGGGAAGAAACGGTATTTGATGGTTGTTGGGATTAATACAGCTTTTAGTAGCAGGAAGAGAAGAGATTCTGTTCGAGCTACGTGGATGCCTCAAGGTTTTAGCTAGCTACAACTTGCTTGACTACATTCTCTTCCAGATCCTGATTAGTATGTTTATATTAATGTTTAGGTGAAAAGAGAAGGAGACTTGAGGAAGAGAAGGGGATTATTATCCGGTTTGTCATTGGTCACAGGTGAGATTTCATTCAGTTTCTGATGTGAGTTTCGTTTGTGCTCTGTGTATATTGATGTTTGTGTGTTCATTGATTATATAGTGCCACGGCGGGGGGTATTCTAGATCGAGCCATAGAGGCTGAGGACAGGAAGCATGGAGATTTCTTGAGACTTGTATGGTTCTGATTTTAGATGTGCTAAGTCTTCATTTTTGAGCTCTTATACTCATTTACATTGGTTTATGTTGTTATTAACAGGACCATGTTGAAGGGTATCTAGAGCTCTCAGGAAAGACCAAGACCTACTTTTCTACAGCGTTTGCAATGTGGGATGCAGATTTCTATGTCAAAGTAGATGATGATGTTCATGTTAATATAGGTAAGCTGGAACATGAGGCAAACGAGTTCATATATTCATTTGTATCCCATTTTTGCTAGTGGATTTTAATGGATTTTGTTGAAAATATCTGCAGCAACTCTTGGAGAGACTCTGGTTAGACACCGGAAAAAACCAAGGGTCTATATTGGTTGCATGAAATCTGGTCCTGTTCTCTATCAAAAGTAAACCATGCTCTCACTTTCCTCCTTTTAAACCGTTATTTTGTTCTAGTTTTTCCTTTTGTTGAAGTCATGTTTGGTTTGATGGAGCAGAGGGGTGAGATACCATGAGCCAGAGTACTGGAAGTTTGGTGAGAATGGGAACAAATACTTCCGTCATGCTACTGGTCAGATATATGCTATTTCAAGAGACTTGGCTTCTTACATATCAATCAATCAGTAAGTTCAAGATGGGATTACTTTATTGTGTATATCCTGTTTAACTCAAATGTATCTCTTGGTTCTTATGTTATGTGTTAAAATGTTACAGGAATGTTCTACACAAGTATGCAAACGAAGATGTTTCGTTAGGAGCTTGGTTTATTGGGATTGATGTTAAACACATTGATGATAGAAGATTATGCTGCGGCACCCCTCCTGGTAAGTCTTCTCCTGCACATTTAGATGATGCTTAAAGAAGTGAGATAAGTCTTAATCAATGTATAGATTTTGAGAACAACTTAGATGAAACGTCAACATCTTCTGTGTTCTGCACCTAAACTACAAACAATAATACATTGTTTGGTGTAAGAAGCTTTAAAGTGAAGAGACACTATCTTAAAAGAGATGACTAAAAGTCCCTATCAAAATCTATCTACTGATACAAAGTCGTAACAACAACCATATAATGTTTCACATCTGATAGAAACATCAAATCTTACTTCTTGTTTCACACACTCAATGATTCTACTAAAACATATGTAAGCTTATGTATTGCAGATTGTGAGTGGAAAGCACAAGCTGGGAACATATGTGTAGCATCATTCGACTGGACATGCAGTGGAATCTGCAGATCAGCAGATCGTCTAAAAGAGGTTCATAGACGCTGCAGTGAAGGCGAAAACACTCTTTGGAGTGCCACCTTCTGACATATAAAAGAAGATGAATGAATCAAACATACAGTTTTGTTCTACTCCCAAAGAAAAGAGGAAGGTCCAGCACAGCAGGAGATACAATTCTTTTTTTTTGCTTCTTATTAGTATCATCCACACACTTTTGTAAACATTAGGTACATAGGACTAGAGATAAGTGGTGATAAAAATCTCTGGCAAGGAATCATATGATTGCGTTTGTTGTCTTTTTGATGGCTTTGGAAATGAAGCAACTTGTGGATTTTGTTACATCAATACAACAAAACTATATGTCATGATTTTTATGGCTGCATCTAATAATCTAGTAAAGGAGTTGGGAGTGAATACTATGTGATAAAGACAGAACCTTGTCTGAAAATGAAAAAAATGTGTATAAAGTTAGATACTTTTTTGTTTTTTTTCTGTGTGTCACGCACATAGACACACGCTCACACACTTAGGTTTCTGTACTCGAAACCCTAGGAAGAGGATTAAAAATTTGGTTTAAGCCTGAGCGGAGCTTATCTTTATTCCGAAGAGCATCAGGTTTGTGGAAGCATGGTGTTCTTCCAGTTGCGTAATCTGAGGGTGAAGTGGTCTCTCATCTCTCATTGCCTTATTACAGGTCTCATTTCCTCTCACTGTGTGTGTCTCTACTCTTCTTCTGGTCCCCTCAAAGTTTTGGTTTTTATGTGTCATTTAGTGGATAACTCTCATTTGTAATCTGGGTGTAGAGAAAGACAAATTGATTGCTTGTGGTTAAGTTTACACTCATCGAAAGTTAACAACTTTAAGACGAGCATACAGAGAGAAAATTTACAAGAATTCTTCCAGCGTTTGGCTCTGTTGTTAAACAGAATATGTTCACTGTACACGCTTTGCATTCTTCTAAAATATATTGGTTTTACCAACTGAGTTTGAATCACATCTCCTTCAAACCAATCATGAATTTAAAGCCTAATCTTTTTTCCTATAGCTGCTTTAGACTAGTTTTTGATTATTAAGTTCATCTGCATTTAGATGGGATTCTAGACTGCCTGGCTTACAAAGTTTGAACGCTTTAGTAACTCTTATGTGAGGTGGTATACTTGCAAAGTTTGCTTTACATTTGGTATCAGTTGGTATGAGTTAAATCTGCAAAGTTGGGTTTAGCTTTTGTATCAGTGGTCGATGTTATAACCGCATCTGACCAAGTTTTGAGATTATTCTAAATCTCAGTTTAATACTTAGCTTTTGTATCAATAGGATCTTATCCATGACTCAGCTTTTATAAGCTCATGCTTGACACATGTAGTGATTGTACTAGTTTTACTGGATTAAACCAAAGAAGCCCCAGGTTTATCCTTAGAAGCGTGGCATGTGTCACTTAGTAATTTTACCAATCCAATTAGCTATGTACACGCATGTGATCCCCTTAGATATTTCTTAGCAAATCAGTTACTACTGGTCATGATTCTCTTGTCTGTTTGAGGAAGAATAAAGATATGATTTTACCATGTTTCCAGTTCCTGAGATACTTTACCATTTTTATTTGGGCACTCTTAAGGTAATTTTTTTTCTATATGACAGCTCTGAGAATTATATACACCTACTCTATATGAGGAAGAGGTTACAAATACTCATCAATATAAAGAGAAGGGGACACAAGAGTTGGGAAGTTAAAAAGCTATGGCGGAAACAGCGCCCTGGATTCCATTTTGGCTTCCTTTGATGGTTTTGGGATGTTTTAGTTTGAAATGGTTGGTTAAGAAAGTGAACGTTTGGCTCTATGCGTCTAGCCTCGGAGAGAACAAGCACTATCTGCCACCAGGTGATTTGGGTTGGCCTTTCATTGGCAACATGCCTTCTTTTCTCAGAGCTTTCAAAACCTCTGACCCTGACTCCTTTACCCGCTCCTTAGTCAAAAGGTAAATAATCTATCCACATATCAAAAGAAAATCGATAGTATATCTGCCTCAAAATCCATGGATATGTGCAGGTATGGACCTAAAGGTGTCTACAAAACACACATGTTTGGGAACCCAAGTATAATAGTGACAACACCAGATACTTGCCGGCGTGTGCTGACGGATGATGATGCCTTCAGGCCAGGTTGGCCAACATCTACAATGGAACTCATTGGAAGGAAGTCATTCATTGGTATTCCTTATGAAGAACACAAACGTCTCAGGCGTTTGACTGCTGCTCCAGTCAATGGCCATGAAGCTCTCTCTCTTTACATACCGTACATTGAAGAAAACGTTGTTGCCGCGCTACACAAGTGGACCAAGATGGGAGAATTCGAGTTCTTGACTCATCTGCGTAAGCTTACCTTTAGGATCATCATGTATATCTTTCTCAGCACTGAGAGTGAGAATGTTATGGACGCTTTGGAAAGAGAGTATACTGCTCTTAACTATGGAGTGAGAGCCATGGCGGTTAATTTTCCTGGCTTTGCTTATCATAGAGCACTCAAGGTAAGAATCAAGCTTCTTATCTTTTGAAGATTGTTTTAGATTCACAACTTTTCGATTTTATAGGCGAGGAAGAAACTTGTGGCTGCCTTTCAGTCTATAGTAACTGAGCGTAGAAACCAAAGGAAGCAGAATAGTACATCCAATAAGAAAGATATGTTGGACAATCTCATTGATGTTAAAGATGAAAATGGAAAAACTCTAGATGATGAAGAGATTATTGATGTTCTTCTGATGTATCTTAATGCTGGTCATGAATCCTCTGGCCATACCATTATGTGGGCTACCATTTTCCTTCAGGAACATCCTGAGTTTCTACAGAGAGCAAAGGTTAATATAGAGAATTTCTTTTTTTCATTTTCTATGTAGTTTTCTCTGGATTGAGTCACGGTGATTCGTGTTTTGCATATGATGATACTTTAGGCGGAACAAGAGATAATCCTGGAAAATAGGCCTAAGGGACAAAAGGGTCTTACTCTGAAAGAAACTAGACAAATGGAGTTTTTGTCGCAGGTATGGTTTTGGTGTCTCATATTAGTCTATTGCAACGGATAGTAAGAGGTGTGTTTCTTCACTAGGTTGTTGATGAGACACTTCGAGTCATAACATTCTCACTTACTGCATTTCGGGAGGCAAAGACTGATGTTGAGATGAATGGTTAGTGTATACTGCAAAAGACATGGCTTATATGAAACACAAAACACCTTTTTAAATGCATCTAAGTTTTGTTTGCATTATTCTTGCAGGCTACTTGATCCCAAAAGGTTGGAAGGTTTTGACATGGTTTAGGGATGTCCACATGGACCCTGAAGTCTACCCGGATCCAAGAAAATTTGATCCTTCTAGATGGGATGTAAGTTAGTTTTCTCATCTTGTGTTGTTGTTCAAATCCAAAGCAAGGAAAAACTAACGTTGTATGGCTGTGTTTATCAGAAGGGGTTTATACCAAAAGCTGGTGCCTTCCTTCCTTTTGGTGCTGGAAGCCATTTATGCCCAGGAAATGACCTCGCTAAGCTCGAGATTTCTATTTTCCTTCACCATTTCCTCCTCAAGTATCGGTAAGTCTTGCAAAAGTTTGAATAAAATGTTATGTCTTTCTGTATTATATTGAAAATATTCATATTTTGCAGGGTGAAAAGGAGCAACACAGAGTGTCCAGTGATGTACTTGCCTCACACTAGACCAACTGATAATTGCTTGGCAAGAATCACTTATCAGTAAAAAACATCATTCTCATCTTTTAAGTTAAAGCTCTAATAAAATGCTGTTAGTAAGCTCAGCTCATCAGTTACTTTGTTCGTTGTTTGAAACTGCATCAGACAATTTACTCTGTTCCATGAAACAGAGCTCTCTCTCTCTTGTTCTCTTAAATTGTTATTTAATTATCAAACTCTTTATCTCAAGGTGCTTGCTTTAATATATGGCCATTGTGAAAGCAATTACTTGTTAATTAAAAATAAATAAAATAATAATGAAGGAAGAAAAAGCCCAAAACACACAACACAGACTGACAATACAGTCCACTATCTACTCCCTTACAAAGACAGAGAGACAAAAAAAATAAACAGCTTGTAGTCCTTTGGACCTGGACCATTTCATCACAATATTATCACAACACGACTTTGGTTTTTTTATGTTGTTTTTTTTTCCTTTAAAGACAGAAGCTTTACAGATCAGAGGAGGAGGAGTATCCAATGTCCAAATTCATCAATCTCTCCCCTTCCTCCATTTGATTCCCTTTTTTTCCTTATCTTCACACCAATCCTCTGTTCTCCTCAAAAACCTAAAAAAAGGTTGAAACTTTATCGGACAAAATGGCGACGAGAGGAAGCAGATCGGAGAAAGTCAAGCGAATCTTCAACCAATTCGACGTCAACCGCGACGGAGGTCTCAACCGCGACGAGATGGCGGCGCTCGTCGTCGCCGTGAACCCTAGAGTCAAATTCAGCGACGAACAGATCAACGCAATCCTCGACGAAGTCTTCCGAACCTACGCCGAGTTCATCGATCCGTCAAACGGTCTAACCTACGACGGTCTCCTCCGCACTTACGACGACGGCGCCGGAGACGTCGACAGAGACTTCGACGCGTTGGGACTCGAGCTTAACCCCGACGAGGCAACGACAAAAGGAGCCTCAGAGGCTTCCTCCTCTTCGATTACTGACGAGAGAGCTGTGGAGGCGCAGAAGAAACAGAGGACGGCTGCTTGGGCGGTTTCTCCTAACCACGGGATTGTTTTTGATGACACGTGGAAGTTAGTTGATGATTTGGAGATTTTGGTTAAGAGGTTGAAGTCTAAACAGGAGAAAGTGAATAATAACAATAATAATAATAACAATAACAATGTTGATGCGTTTTCTGATGCGGGATGGTCTAGAGAGTTAGGTCCTTCCACGGAGTTATCTGACAAGAGGATCTACTGGGAAGAGTCTAGTCATGATTATAATGTGTTTGTGAAGGAGTTGGGAGTGTTGAGGAGTAAAGCAGATGGAGCTAGGTCGAGAGAAGAAGCTTTTGATGGACATATGGCGATTGGTAAGGTCTTGTACGAGCACCAGTTGTTTAAAGAAGCGCTCGTTAGCTTCAAGAGAGCTTGTGAGCTTCAGCCTACTGATGTGAGACCTCATTTCAAAGCTGGGAACTGTCTCTACGTGTTGGGGAAATGTAAAGAGTCGAAAGATGAGTTTTTGTTGGCGTTGGAGGCGGCTGAGTCCGGTGGGAATCAGTGGGCGTACTTGCTTCCTCAGATTTATGTTAATCTTGGGATCTCGTTGGAAGGTGAAGGTATGGTTTTGAGTGCTTGTGAGTATTATAGAGAAGCTGCGATTCTTTGTCCTACGCATTATAGGGCGTTGAAGCTTTTAGGTAGTGCGTTGTTTGGTGTGGGAGAGTATAGAGCTGCTGTTAAGGCTTTAGAGGAAGCTATTTATTTGAAACCGGATTACGCTGATGCTCATTGTGATTTAGCTTCTTCTTTGCATTCAATGGGGGAAGATGAGAGAGCTATTGAGGTTTTCCAGAGGGCTATTGATTTGAAGCCTGGTCATGTCGATGCTTTGTATAATCTCGGTGGGCTTTACATGGATTTAGGTAGGTTTCAGAGAGCTTCTGAGATGTACACTAGGGTGTTAGCTGTGTGGCCTAACCATTGGCGTGCTCAGCTCAACAAGGCTGTGTCTTTACTTGGTGCTGGAGAGACTGAAGAAGCTAAACGAGCGCTTAAGGAAGCGCTGAAGCTGACTAACCGCGTTGAGTTACATGATGCGGTTTCTCATCTGAAGCATTTGCAGAAGAAGAAAGGTAAGAAGAATGGTAATGGTAATGGAGGAGAAGGTCCTTTTATCATCGTGGAGACGTCAAAGTTCAAGACCGTTGGTGAGAAGACAACTTTGAGACCGGATTTAGCCACTGCGCTTCAGGTTAGAGCCTTTCAGAAGGTGACAAGGCTCGGGAAATGCGACGTGGAGGCTGTGAGGAAGGAGATGAGAGACAATGACGTTCCTGTATCGTATTCAGGAAGTGGTGGACCGACTAAATCAATCAGGAAACCAAATCTTGAGGAGATTCTCAGGCGTCTACTTATATCCTTGAAGCCTGAGACTTTCCAAGGAGCTATTAAGGCTATAAACGAGAGGATCCTCTCGGTTCTTGATGATTCAGGGTCTGGTAGAGTAGATATGGGTATGTTCTACGCAGTGATTGCTCCTCTATGCGGTGGACATTCAGACAAACGCAAAAGAGTTGCCTTCGAGGCGCTTCTTTGGAGACCAGTTAACGAAGGAAGCTCACAGATCACAAAAACAGATGCAGACAAGTACATCAAACTCTTGAGAGCTATCTACATTCCATCACATGGTATGAGTGAGATGCTAGAAGTTCACGGAGAAGAAGGAGCTGACTCCTCCATGACGGTAACGTTTAATCAGTTTCTAGCTATGTTTGAGGATCCTGACTGGGGGTTTGGTATCATGTCCACGATACTTAAACTTGAGGGGAACGATAGAAACCGACATGGCAACCATGTCTGCTCGGTTTGTCGGTATCCGATCATTGGATCTCGGTTTAAGGAAGTGAAAGCTCGGTTTAGTTTGTGTAACCAGTGTTACAGTGAAGGGAAGGTTCCACCTTCGTTTAAGCTGGAGGAGTACAAGTTCAGAGAGTATGGGAGTGAAGCTGAAGCTATGAAAGCTAAGTGTGTTTGTTTCTCGATGCAGTCTCATAAGAAACCGATAGCCGCTTGAAAAAAGAAAACTACTAACTCTATCACGTTTTCATTTGAATCTTTTGTAACTTTTTTTTTGTTGTTAGAACTTTTGTGTGCATAGCTTGGAACTTTGAAGAAGTGTATGATGTTGAGTGTGCAAGAGATTACAATATTTCGTTAATGAAATTAAGGTTAAGCGTGTCGAAAAACAATCAGAAGCAAGATTCCTGACAACATTTTAATGATGTAAATTAATTCAAAACATTGATTATTTTCTGTTTTGCAAATATATTAGTCTTCCTATTTCAACATAAGGTTAAATGCAAAATAAAATCTACATCCACAACAACAAAAAAAAAAAATCACAGCTTTATTTCTAGAACAAAATCTTGAATCTGTAACGTTTACAAATCATGCCTCTAATGTTTCATTATTTAGCATTGCTTCTCCACTTTTTTCTTTTCTTATTGCAGCCCTATGCTGCCAAAATCTAAAACGTTAAATTTTAATCAATTTTTTTTGTTCAAAAGAAAAATAAAATTTTTTAAAATATAAGGAAATGCACCTGATATTCTAGTTATCTAAATAATCAGGTGTTATGTGTCAACAAAAATAAAAAGAACAATCAGGTAGTATGACGTATAAGAAACTGACGCGTGTATTTTTGTGCTTCCCGCCATTTATTGACAGTTACACTGTTAACAAACCTATGCTCTATTAAAGGCTAAGAGACTTCTTTTGCTTCTCTTATAACTTTCCCACGCTCTAATCTTCTCAGCGTGACGATTCTGATAAACCCTAACTCCTCAATCGCTTTTGGGTGCGATGAAGTTACAACCCCGCAAGAATGCGATTCTTCCATCCGACGAAGGTAAATCAATCAATCTTTTTATCGTCCCTGAGAATTTAATGGTGTTTCGATGCGATCTTGGCCTCAAATTACAGATTTTCAGATTGATTGATCTAAGCAATGTAACTTTTAATTTGTGTGTTGTTGCAACTCTAAATAAGTGTTATCTTTGATAATAGGTGAGGAAGACGTAAACACACCATTGTCAAAAGGCACTAAAAGAAAAGCCTCCGGAGAGAAAGTTAAACTCTTGTGGGAGATTTGGGAACAAGAAGATCAGAAATGGATTGATGAACGTAAGCCAGAGGATGTTGATTTGGATGATCAGCAGAACACTTTGATTGCTGAAACCGCCGAGCCGCCTCCTGATTTGATTATACCATTACTAAGGCACCAAAAGGAGTTTTTAGCATGGGGAACAAAACAGGAACAATCATTTGTTGCAGGAGGCATTCTCGCTGATGAGATGGGGATGGGGAAAACCATACAAGCCATCTCTCTTGTTCTTGCTAGACGTGAAGCTGCAAGGGCTCTGTTTAGAGAAATGATGGGGTGCACTCTTGTAATTTGTCCTCTTGTTGCTGTTTCTCAGTGGTTAAGTGAGATTGCGAGGTTTACATCACCGGGAAGCGCCAAGGTGCTTGTGTACCATGGGCCTAAGAGAGAGAAGAATGCTGAAGAGTTCAAGAAGTATGACTTTGTGTTGACAACTTATTCTACGGTTGAGACTGAGTTCAGGAAATGCATGATCTCGCCGCGCAAGAAGCAGTGTAGATTTTGCAGCAAGACGTTTTTTCCGGAGAAGCTTATTATACATAATAAGTATTTCTGTGGGCCTAATGCTGTGAAAAGGACTGAACAACCGTTAGAGGGAGATGAGATTGGTCCAGTGGTCAAAGGGAAGCCTGTGTTGCATTCTATTAAGTGGAATCGGATCATTTTGGATGAGGTCGGTACCAAGACCCCTGTCTCTTTTGTTTTGTCAATCATTTTTTTTGGTTACTCTATAAAGTTTAATTCCTATTTCTTCATACCAGGCACATAGCATCAAAGATAAAAGTAGCAACACTGCGAAAGCTGTTTATGCTTTGGATGCTAAATATAGATGGGCTTTGAGCGGTACCCCTCTCCAGAATTGTATTCAAGAGCTTTTCTCTCTGGTTAGTTAATCTTTACTCAAGTTAATCTATAGCACGTAAACATCATTACCAACATCTCTGATTCGAATTTTTTTTGTTTTCGCCAGATTCGCTTCCTGCAAATTCTTCCATACTCGTATTACTTTTGCAGGGACTGTGACTGTAGAATTCTTGATAACACGTAATTTTTTTACCACACTTGATTTCTAGTTATTCTCTCCTTTCTCTTCTGTTTCATAGCGCGTACTAATTTTTGTTGTTCATTCCCTTTTTGTATGTTGCCTTTGATTGCAGTGCGAATGTAAGCTGTAACAGCTGCCCTCATAATGCAGCCCGACATTTCTGTTGGTGGCACAGGGTAACTTATATTGACAAATTTTATACTGTTTCTAACCTTCTGATTTTTGTTATCTACAATCGTGCTAGAATGTGACCAAAACATATGCAAACGTGGAAAGGGGAAAGCGGGCTATGATAGTATTTAAGAAAGTTCTGAAAGACATCCTCATAAAACGTACTAAATTGGGCCAGGCAGCTGATCTTTCTCTTCCTCCTAGAATCGTATGTTGCTTTGTCTCCCTTGTCTCATGTAAATGGAAACTCACTGTAGTTGCTTCCTAGCTTCACCTTTACATATAAATTTTTACTTCTTGTAGATCACTCTGAGGCGGGATGCACTAGACATAAAAGAGTTTGATTTCTATGAATCACTATACAAACAAACTAAAGCGGAATTTAATACGTTAAGTACCTTCCTTTCTATGATTTTCCACTCTCTTGTGCTCTCATTGGTCCATGTAACATTATTTAATAATTGACTTTTCAGGTATGTTGAGGCTGGGACATTGATGAATAACTCTGCAAATATATTTGATCATCTCATCCGTCTGAGACAGGTGTGTGGCATCTACAGTTTTCTGGTTCAACTAACCAGCTAATGCACCTTCTGGTTGATATAGATTGTAGTTCTATGATGTATTTTCTCCGCAATTTTTGCAGGCTGTTAATCATCCATACCTTGTGGTGCACAAAAAAGAGCACGAATGCAGTCTCTGCCACAAACCGGCTGAGGACAGTGTTGTAAATGTATCAATATTCTCGATCTATTGCTATTTCGCTGTATCTTGACTCTGATTTCTTTAGTGATTTCTCAGCTGGTTTCTTTTTACATTTTAGTCACGAGTCTTTCAGATTTCTGTAGCTGGGCTAACTTGTTCGCTTTGGTTCTTTTAACTGTGAAGGTGACTTCTTGTGAACATGAGTTCTGTAAAGCTTGTTTGATTGGAAAAGTCAGCTGCCCGATATGCTCGAAACTACTGACTACCAACGCTGACACGGAGCAACAGGCGGCAAGCAAGACAGCAGGATTTAGAGCCTCAAGCATTTTAAATCGGATAAAGAAGCTCGATGATTTTCAGACAAGTACAAAAATAGAGGCTTTGGTATGTTCTCTTGAATATGTACCAGCTTATGTCTCCCCCCTCTCTTCTCAAATATTGCACCCTGTTAAGTTTCGTTGGTATATGGTGATCATATTTGTATGCAGAGGGAAGAAATAAGGCTTATGGTTGAAAGAGATGGGTCTGCCAAAGCAATAGTTTTCAGCCAGTTCATATCCTTTTTGGATCTGATAAACTACACTCTCGGGAAGGTAGTATCACTTCTATGCTACGTCTCTGTTATTATATAACATTTGTCTTTTAAGCAGAATGTAACACTCTTTTGTTTGCAACACAGTGTGGAGTTAGTTGCGCACAACTGGTGGGAGACATGCCCAGGGCAGCTAGAGATGTTGCCATCAATAAATTCAAAGAAGATCCAAACTGCAGAATTTTTTTGATGAGTTTTCAAGCGGGAGGGGTTGCTCTCAACTTAACAGCCGCGTCACATGTAAGTGCCTAAGTTAACAAATATGGAGCGATGGACGCGTTCAAAAAACATGCTCTAGCATTTGGTTGTTTGTGGGAAAAAACTCTGTAGGTGTTCATGATGGACCCGTGCTGGAACCCAGCGGTTGAGAGGCAAGCTCAAGACAGAATACATAGGATCGGACAGTACAAGCCAATCAGGTTAACACTTCAATTCTCCTGTCATTCTACACCGTTTGTGTGGGGAAGAAGAACGACTTTTGTATATACATTTGTGATTTGTGAAAAAAAATACAGGGTTGTGAAATTCATAATAGAGAATACAGTGGAGGAAAGAATTATAGAGCTTCAAAAGAAGAAGGAACTTCTGTCTCAAGGGTAAGTAAAAGATTCCCTACTTGTGTTTTCATTTTTTTTAATGTCCGAACCATAAAACTATTATTAATCATGAACTAACTTTTGTTCCTCACAGGACCGTTGATGGTTCTGAGGAGGCCATGAGAAAGTTGACAAAGGATGATATGAGGTATCTGTTTACCATCTATAACTGACTCTATTAGAATATAAAACGCTTTTGTATGTATGATCATAAGACATTTGATGATGACTCATCTATTGTGTTCATAGTTTGGAAATTTGAAGTGTATGATGTTTGAGAGTGTGCAATAGATTTACAACATTTCTCTGATGAAATCAAGGTTAAGTGTGTCCTTAACAATGAGAAACAAACCAAGAAATAGCACAAGCAATATTCCAGAAGACATGATCCCTTGCTCAACCTCTAACGGTAGCTTCCTCCCACCTCTAACCGCTTCCAACAAGATCAAAGCCAGAGTTCCACCATCAAGAGCCGGTAATGGCAACAGGTTGATCACCGCAAGGTTTAGATTCAGCAACGCCGCAAACTGGTAAAGCCCATCCGCGTTTGATTTCGCTACTTCAGCTCCAACCGCAATGATCGCAACAGGACCAGCGACTTGACTAGCGGTTTGAGAAAAGTTGAGAAAAGTCTTTTTCAAACTATCCAAAACATTGTAAGAGAGACCAAAGAACTCTCTACCGACAAAACTAAAAGTCTCTGTTACGTTCTTCGGTTTCACCTTTGAGAATCTCACGTTCGGTGATAGCTGAACACCGATCCTCCCTGTTCCATCGAAGCTCTTATCAGGTGTGATCATGATCTCGAAACCTTGTTTATTACCTCTTTGGACTCTGAGCAAAACCTTGTGATTTGGATTGCTCTTCACAACGTCAACGACTTTAGAAACAGAGTCAGAACCGAAGCTGGTTAACTCACTCCCATCAACGGCTAAGATAACGTCTCCAGGAAGCAATCCATCACGAGAACCAGCGGAGAAAGACTTCACGTCAGGAACAAGAACTCCTGGAAACGCTTCTTGAACTGGTAAACCAACAACAACCACTTGAGCAAAGATTATAGCGTAAGCGAAGATTACATTAGCTACGATTCCAGCTGAGACCACAACCACTCTGTCTAAAATGGGACGGTTCTTGAGGAGGTTCTTGTCGTCTAGAGGGATCCCACTGTTTGGATCGTTGTCAGGGAATCCGACAAAGCCTCCAAGAGGAAAAGCTCTAAGAGAGTACTCGACGTTGTTGGAGTTGAACTTAGCTAGAATCGGACCAAACCCTATAGCAAACTTGCTTATATGGATGCCTTGGAGATAAGCGGCTAAGAAGTGTCCTGTTTCGTGGACGACTATGATCGCTGTGAGAACAGCTGAAGCTTCGAGGACTGATTCGAAGCTTCCGATGTCGAATCCAGCGAGAGCTTGTGGTTTGTAACTGATCCTTTCACCATCGAATGGGTTTCTTTTGTTATTGAAGAAAGCTCTGTTCTTGGTGTAGAAGAGGCTGTGGTTTGAGAAACTGGAGGAAAGGTGAGATTTTGAGAGATGGGTTTTTGATTTTGAAGGTTGGTTGTTTAAATGAGAAATTGGAGAAGATGAGATGTTTAATAGCATGATTTCGTGAGGTTTGGAGATTTTAGTGTGAGGAGAAATGAAACTATTGAAGCCATTGAAAAACAGAGGAGATAAAGAAAAACATGTGTGTGTTCTGTCTCTTGTATGTGGATGGTATTGAAAACACAACTACACTCCTTGTTACACTCGTTCTTATTTGTTTGCGTTACAAAAATGAAAAATATTAGTTAGAGAACCTTTATGGGCTCTTAAGCTTGTAGCTACCCTTTTGTGGTCTCTTATGGGCTTACTTAGTCCAGATTTGAACCTCAGGCCTAGTTGGGTTGTCTGTTCTAATCAATCATACAGGGCTGGAACGGACTGGTTCTCGAACAAAACAGTAGATTATAAAGTCAAATAAAGTTAAATCGAACTTTTTGTAATTTATCGTAAGTTTTTAAAACAAATTATGGTTATTGATAGGACTGGGCAATCGGGGTCCCAATCGGGTTTTGGTTTGGATTCACTCGGGTTTCGGGATTTTGGTTTCATGGATTTCATCCTCATTCGGATATTATAAAAATTCGGATCGGATTCGGTTCAGGTTTAATAACATGTCCAAAATCCAGTTGAACCCAAAATAGTTTCGGTTTCGGATACTAATCGGGTTATCGGTTCTAAAAATACTAATTTATACTCATCAATTAAACTCACTATATTTTTAATCATTTTATTAAATTTATGTATTTAACTTCTACAAACCATATTGTTCTCCATCAAAATAATATTATGAAATTCGTCTATCTACCATATAAAATTTATCATTAAACTAAATGTGACAACACTAAACATATCATGATTAATGACAAACCAAAACCCTTGTATAAACGAAAATCATACATAGTGAAATATAAAAAATTAAAATTAACAACTAACAATTCTATAAATGTAAGAAGTACTATTTAAAATTTTCTAAAATAACATTATTTAAATTTCAAAATAAATTTACTGGTAACTTAACTTCAAATTTAATGTCAATCATAAACATTAATATTAATCAAATAACACTATATATTAGACTAAATATTTGGGTAATTTAGTCATATCATAACTAATTATTGTAGGTATTCAATAATATATTAATGTGTTTTGGAAATATATTAGAAACTTAGATTAGATATGATACATGTTTTTTGGAATTTTAAAGTTTTGGATTCTTTTGGATATCCATTTAAGTTCGGGTTCGATTCGGATAAAACCCATAATCCGAAAATACCGTAAACTAAAATACATTCAGTACTTATGTCGGACTCAGATCGGTTCGGATTCCCTTTTATTGGGTTGGATTTAGTTCGGATTTTTGGGTTCGGTCTTTTGTCCAGCCTAGTTATTGAGCCAAAATTTTGAATTTATTTATTTATTTTGGCTTCTGGATGGATCAAAGCTCAACATAATTATCGAACTTGGATCATCCGCAAATTATTCTCTCTTTTTCGCCGACATATGACAAATATTTTGTTAATACTATTTTCTTCAAAACTAGCTAGTTTACAACAGTATATGAAAGAAGAAAACAAAAACATGTGATAGAAAAGTCATGAACAAAACAACGTGGCCATTATAATTCCTTTACCTTTATACCTGTGGAACATGACATGATTGTATTTTAGGTGTTTAATTAACGAAAATGGTTGTCGACCTCTCATCCTCTGGTTAGGTCGCCCTTTCAGATACTTTTTCTAGTTAAAAAATTATTGTTTTATTCTGTAAAATGCTTATTTAACTAGATATATAATTTCTTTATTGCGTTTCTTCAATACTTAGATGAAAAGGAGACCAGGTTCAACGAACCTGTAACTTTAAAATCTACATAATCCTATTTTTCTTATTTTTGTATGGGCTGTCGCCATGATTTTCCAACGTAAGCATGCTTAAAAAGATGAAATATAATTATATATATATAGTCATATTTCATTTTCGAAAAGAACTAATTAAAAAGAAAGTAGTACTTAGCTTTCCATCTACTTTCTAGCAATTAAAAAATAAGTTGGTGAAACCTAATTTTATAACTCCTTTTATAATTTAGCATCTTATCGTATCACCATATAATGCATATGGTTTGAGCAGAGAGCTAAAGAAAGAGAGAAAATCCTTATGCCTTCTCCGGAGACTCATCATCACTTCATTCTCGACCGTATGTCTCTTGTTTCCATCTAATTTTCTTCATTTAAACGATCTGGTAGTTACCATTTTATATTTTCATAAATCTACTTAATGCTCCAATCCATATGTATAGTATAGATATAAATGTGCTTGTGTGCTTGGTCTTGATACATTTTTGTTGTCTGAACATCATCAACCAGGATCCAAGGTTTATGAAGAAGTGAAGCATAGAGCAACAGCTTATACATGCTGCCAAATGATTGATGAAAATCAAAGAAAATTACCAATCTGGATTTACTAGTTGATGGTATTATTGGGCTTGAGTTTGATCGAATATAGATGGACATCTCTTTTCTTAAGGTTGCTTTGAAGAAAAGGATGAGAGATGCTCATGGCTTTAGTCTTGATCAGGCAAGTAAACGATCACCAGTTCCCCCTTTCAAAACTTCAATCTCATTGTTAAACACGAGTACTGTTACATAATCCATCTTTTAATTTTTATACAAAAACATATAGGTTTCTTTCATCGTTTACGTATGAAGGGTTATGCAGTTCTTTTATACAAAAACTTATAGGTTTCTTTCATTTACAAAAAAAAAAGGGTTATGCAGTTCTAGTCGATAATTAAATTTTATGAAATGTAACTTTTCATTCAGTCAGTGCTATGGAATCCCAAGAAAGATAGAAAGAAAAGCATATGTGCTAAAGATAAATTATATCGTTTACTTATCAAAAAAAAAAAATTATATCGTTTGCATGTTTAACAGAAAATATCGTTCAATATTCCATTTAAAACTGTTCAGATCAACTGTATATATGTTAATATATATGGTATATCTATGTTTATGTTTCCATGTATCAGTTGCAAATTATGATGTTTAGGATGGTCACATTGTGTTTTATTCTTCTGAAGCCGCGCGCGCTGGTGTTTCAATATCACAAAATCATTCGATATCAATATGTCTAATTCTCAGTTTCAGAAAGAAAGTCTAATTTTCACAAGGTTTACCCTTGTAACGTCCTTATGGAACATTCATGAAATCGCTCTTTGTTGTTAAACTTTGGGTTCATAGATGAAACCTCTAACACATTGAGATATCTAGAAAGCAAATCCAGAAGCTGGTCCACGACTCCACGTCTCCACGGCACATGGTAACGTAAAGACGATGTTTTTCTATAATGGGTTTGCCATAGTTGTTGGCATCATGCTTCAACCGCTTGTATCATTTCTTTTTACCAATTCTGACTCTTGAAACTTGCATATTACTTGAGGACTTTAAAACACACACAGACACACACATCGAATAAAATGTCAAAGAAAAAAGAGTCAAGATCACTTCTAGTGGTTAAAATATCAACCAAATCAACGTGTCGAACCGTTTTCTCGTGATGAACACAGAACACTCCACTAACATCGATGAAGCCCACTCGTATGTCCAAACTACACATTGTGAAGCCCATGTGGTAGACAAAGCCATGCCTGTCAACTAAATATCATTTTTTATAATGTAAACTAAACATTATGTCTCTGACTTGCAAATATATGTCTTTCTGTTATTTTTTAATGACATTGATGTAAATTTCCTATTTTAAATGGATACACAATAACTATTGCAAAGATCATTATTCACTGTCAACTAAATATCATTTTTTATAATGTAAACTAAACATTATGTTTCTGACTTGCAAATATATGTCTTTCTGTTCTTTTTTTAATGATATTGATGTAAATTTCCAATTTTAAATGGACACACAATAACTATTGCTAAGATCATTATTCATTAACTATTTTTTTTTTTTCATAATAGATGGTGACAACTTTTTTAAAAATGAAATTGATAAGATTATTCTCCCCTATTTGAGCATGAAGTTAAGGGATACTATTTCGGATTTTCGGATGTTATTCATTATCTAATCTTTTTTTCCTAATATAAACTAAAACATTTAGAAACTAATAAATGACCTAATATCGTCGTTGTTCATACGGATAAGAAGATGACACGTGTGAACTTAGTGTTTCCCGCCGTTATCGACAGTTGCGCACACTCACTCCCCACTTTATTAAATACCCTCACGACGATTAGATTAAACCCTAAAACGCGTCTTTCAACTCCGAAATCGAAATTGAGTCGCTGCGATTATGGAGCTTCGTTCTCGCAATAAGCGGTCTCTTCCACCGAACAAAGGTACTCGCTTTCTCCACCACTGATCGTTCTCTCTGTTTTCTCCGATCGTCTCTGTTTTTTTCTTTCTTTGAAACATCGGAAACCGTGAACTAGTGTTCTCTCTTTTACTTATTCTTCTTATTAAACTATGAAACAGAGAATCTCTATGAAGAAGAAGAAGTCAGTGAAAAACCTAATGGTTTAACTTCTTCTGATGACGATTCAGAGGACTCTGAGTTTCAAGGTACCTCCTTTATTGTCTTTTTGATTCTCTGTTTTAACGTTTTATCGATTTTAATTTTTTTACTATTTTACTTGAAATATATATTATAGTTATAGTTATACTAATTGTGCTCTGGGTATGAAACCATTATGATATAATTGTTATTAGTAAATTAATTCCTGATAAACTAGTATAAGTAGTTTCCGAGGATATTTAAATGATATGTGAAGAGTGAACATAGGTGAGGAAGAGGAGGAGAAGAATGATGATGATGATGATGATAATGTGTTTGTTGATGGTAATGATGATATACCAAACCCTGTACCCGCCCCAGCTCTAGCTCCTGCTCCTGTGCCATTGCGAAGAGGCACTAAAAGGAAGAGCTATCGTGAACCCAGAGAGAAAGGTAACCTGTTGTGGGAGATTTGGGAGAAAGAGGATCAGAAGTGGATTACTGAACACATGACAGAGGACGTTGACTTGGATCAGCAGAACACTTTGATTGCTGAAACCGCCGAGCCGCCTCGTGATTTGATTATGCCATTACTTAGGTACCAGAAGGAGTTTTTAGCGTGGGCAGCGAAACAGGAACAGACAGTTGCAGGGGGTATTCTTGCAGATGAGATGGGGATGGGGAAAACTATACAAGCTATCTCTCTTGTTCTTGCTAAGCGTGATGTTGACAGGGGTTTGTCTAAAGAAGCGGTGGGGTGTACACTTGTGCTTTGTCCCCTTGTTGCTGTTTCTCAGTGGTTGAGTGAGATTGCGAGGTTTACATCACCGGGAAGCACCAAGGTGCTTGTGTACCATGGGGCTAAGCGTGAGAAGAATGCTGAAGAGTTTAAGAAGTATGACTTTGTGTTGACAACTTATTCTACGGTTGAGAATGAGTTCAGGAAATGCATGATGTCGCCTAAGGAGCAGTGTGAATATTGCAACAAGTCGTTTTACCCTGCGAAGCTTATTATCCACAATAAATATTTTTGCGGGCCTAATGCTGTGAAAACGAATAAGCAATCTAAGCAGCAGAAGAAGACGAAGATCTCTATAGCTACATCGTCCAATAAAGGCAAGGAAGCCGATGCAGGAGAGGGTAGCAAGGTCAATCGATCTAGGAAGAAAACTAAAAAAGCACTAGAGGAAGATCAGCTTGGTTCAGTGGATAGAAAGAAGTCTCTTTTGCACTCTATTACGTGGAACCGGATCATCTTGGATGAGGTCAGTACAAAATCTGTCTCTTTTGTTATGTCAATATTAAGTGGCTAGATCTGTAGATATGACGTTGGTTACTATTTATACCAGGGTCATTACATCAAAGAAAGACGTAGCAACACTGCGAGAGCTGTTTTTGCATTGGAGGCTACCTACAGATGGGCTTTGAGTGGTACCCCGCTGCAGAATCGTGTTGGAGAGCTTTACTCTCTTGTTAGTTAATCTTTACTGAAGTTACTTTATCCATAGCAATTAAAATTATCGCCAATATATCTGACTTGACTATTTTGTTTTCCTCAGATTCGCTTCCTGCAAATTCGTCCATACTCGTACTACTTTTGCAAGGACTGTGACTGTAGAATTCTTGATTACACGTACACTTTTACCACACTCGATTCCTAGCTATTGCTTCTTCTATTATGTTCATTAGCTCATAACAAGTTCTGTTGTTTGATCTCTTTTTGTCTACTGCCTTTGATTGCAGTGCGCATGTAAGCTGTAAGAGCTGCCCTCATAATGCAGTGCGACATTTCTGTTGGTGGAACAAGGTAACAACTATGAGTTCCACTTTATATTACCAAATTCTTGAAAGCAGGATCACCATTAAAAACTGGTTTTTGTTATTTCCAATCTTGCTAGTATGTGGCTAGACCAATAACAGCATATGGAGGCTACGAACCGGGTAAGAGAGCCATGGTATTGCTGAAACACAAAGTTCTGAAAGACATCCTCATAAGACGTACTAAACTGGGCCGGGCAGCTGATCTTGCTCTTCCTCCTAGAATCGTATGTTGCTTTATCTCTCTTGTCTCATGTAAATGAAGCTTACTATAGTTGTTTCCTTGCTTGACCTTTTACGTTTACGTTTTACTTCTTGTAGATCACTCTGAGGCGGGATGCACTAGACGTAAAAGAGTTTGATTACTATGAATCGCTATACCAAAATAGTCAAGCGCAATTTAATACGTTAAGTACCTTCTGCTCTATGGTTTTCCACTCTCTCTTGCTCCTTGGTTCATGTAACAGAATTTTATTATTGACTGTGCCATGTACATTTCTGTTTGCAGGTATATTGAGGCTGGGACATTGATGAATAACTATGCACATATATTTGATCTTCTCACCCGTTTGAGACAGGTGTGTTACATTTACAGTTATCTGGTTTGGCTAACCAGCCAATGCACTTTCAGTATTATATGGGTATAGGTTCTTGATGTATTTTCTCTGCAATCTCTTGCAGGCTGTTGATCATCCATACCTTGTGGTGTATTCCAATTCTAGTGGAGAAAACGCTAACTTGAACGGTGAGAACAAAAAGGAGCAAGAATGCGGTCTCTGCCATGAACCGGCTGAGGACAGTGTTGTAAGTGTATCAGTCTTTTCAATCTTTTTTTAATTTCTAAGTAACCTTATACTTTGTTTAGGATTCTGTTAGATTTCTATTGTGGGCTAACTTGTTCGATTAATATTTTCTTTGGTTTTTTAAACTGTGAAGGTGACTTCTTGTGCACATGTGTTCTGTAAAGCTTGTTTGATTGATTTCTCTGCATCCCTGGGACAAGTTAGTTGCCCCACATGCTCAAAACTACTGACTGTGGATTGGACTACCAAAGCTGGCACAGAGAAACATGCAAACAAGACAACACCAAAAGGATTTAGAGCCTCAAGCATTTTAAATCGGATAAAGCTCGATGATTTTCAGACAAGTACAAAGATAGAGGCTTTGGTATGTGCTCTTATGTGTATACAGCTTATGATTTACTCTCCCCTCACAATAGTGCACCCTGTAAAGTTTCTTTGGCATTTGAGCCCTTTTTCTTTAACCATATCGTGATCATGTTTGGACGCAGAGGGAAGAAATCAGGTTCATGGTTGAAAGAGATGGGTCTGCCAAAGCAATAGTTTTCAGCCAGTTCACATCATTTTTGGATCTGATAAACTACACCCTTGGGAAGGTAAAACCAAGAGCAACCAACTATGTTCCGGCTATGTTATTCTTTAACATTGGTTTTAATCAGACTGAAAAACTCTTTTGATTACAACACAGTGTGGGGTTGGTTGCGCCCAACTGGTGGGAAGTATGTCCATGACAGCTAGAGATCTTGCCATCAATAAATTCAAAGAAGATCCAGATTGCAGAGTCTTCTTAATGAGCTTGAAAGCTGGAGGGGTTGCTCTCAACCTAACAGTTGCCTCACATGTAAGTGTCTAGATATCAACGATGGAGAGATATCCGCGTATTCAATACATCTTCTCACATTAGTTTAAACTCTGTAGGTGTTCATGATGGACCCGTGGTGGAACCCAGCGGTTGAGAGGCAAGCACAGGACAGAATACATAGGATCGGACAGTACAAGCCAATCAGGTTAACACTTTAGTTCTCCTTGGATCTCTATATATTTGTTGGTGTGTAATTAAAGATTAATCTTTGGATACATGTTTTACAGAGTTGTGAGATTCATAATAGAGAACACAGTGGAGGAAAGGATCCTGAAGCTTCAAAAGAAGAAGGAACTTGTGTTTGAAGGGTGAGTAATATATATTCTCTACTTCTGTTTTTTCTATTTCCGAACATAAATTATTGTTCATTAATTCTGAACTAACTTTTTGTGTCATTACAGGACCGTTGGTGGTTCTCAGGAGGCCATTGGAAAGTTGACAGCGGAAGACATGAGGTTTCTGTTTACCACCTAACTTAATCCATTAACAAACAAAAAAGTATTTAGTCTGTACGATCGTAAGATAATGGTGCCGTAAACTCCTTGTTTTCAGCTTCTTATATTTAGCTAGACATTTGATGATGACTCATCTATGGTTTGATACTCCCTTGCAAGAAAAGTGTTTTAATAATTGAATGAAGTTTAAGTAGTTTAATAAGGTAGGTTTTCAACCTGTCAATTATTTTATCATATGATAATTAGATTTGTGTGGAAGCAAAGACATAAATGAATGAATGAATCATCTAAATGACCTAACCAAAGCTTTTCCACGCAAGAAAAAAATAACAGAGCGAAAGTGCGAATCCTTGAGAAAGATTCGAAAGGAATCTTTCAGTTTGCCTAAACACTACGAAGTGACCAACTAACCAACCAACAAACCAATTCGGCTGGTTAGGCGACTTTTGTTCCCTTCGTTTTCTCACTTTCCATACAAGCAAAGATCATTACACTCCACAAATCCTTCTTTAGTATGCTTACCACAAATCTCATTATTTCACCTAACTGCTTCACTAAATCTAGTTTCATACAGTTGTGTTTACAAAATATTGGCAAATAACTCATACCATTTCTGGCATATATGCTTTGGCTAATAGGGCGTTTAGAGTAACACATCAAAGTCCAATTTCACTATATTTGGTTTAATAAAAATGAACCACACAATTTGGAAGCATGGATTTTTTTAAATAAAAAATGATGAATTAGTAAATGTATGTACATGAATTTGATCTAAACCTCAACTTCTACCCAACCTACATTCACTCAAATTCAAAATTTTCCTTAAAACCAAACAAGACTAAACAATTTTTTTTGCCTAATTCAAAATAATCAAGACTGCCTCATCATGTGACCGACTAATCATTATTCCGTCGAACCGTGATCCAATCTTCACCGCCCATATCCCACGTGGGATCCACCACACCCTGACCAATCCAGCTTAGCACTTCAATTCTCTCCTCGTGACATTCCCACCACCTTGGACGCTCCTGATCCTCCTCTTCCACTGACCTCCAGAACATTTGATCCGTCACACTTGTCGGTGAGTCCGTAACCAAACCGGTTACCAATTCTGTATCCGGTTTGGTTATCAAAAACGGATGGTTTAATAATTGAGTCGCTGTCCATCTCTCCTTCGCATCTCTTCTCAAACACTTTCCCAAAAAATCCTTTGCTTGTTCCGTAAGCGAGGAAGGCACCTCAGGTGACTCACCCATATACCCGACCCGGTATAGAACCGAAACCGGGTCGGTCGAATCCTCCCCAAACCACGGATGAGAACCGGTTACCATCTCTATCACCGTACACCCCAAAGCCCAAATATCACTCTCCTTCCCTTGCCCCTCTCCACGCGCCACCTCCGGCGCCATAAACGCCGGAGTTCCTCTAACCGGTTCGGTTAACTCCGGTTCAACCAACTTCGCGCAACCGAAGTCAGCGATCTTTGCCTCTCCTTTCTCTCCGACAAGCACGTTGCTTGCCTTAACGTCGCAATGCCCTTGGAGTTATGAATATACTCCAAACCAAGAAGTATCTGGCGCGTGTAACTCACCACCCGAGCCTCCTCGATGCAACCACCGTTCTTGGCCGCCACGTCGGTCAACGTCCCGTACGGTGCGTACTCCATGAGAAGGTTGTAATAAGTGGCTTCTCCGTTCTTGAAGGGCTCTTTCGTAACTTCGCATCCTCTGTATCCGATGACGTAAGGAGAGTTTAGTGAGGAGAGGAGTTTGGCTTCTCTTTGCAAAAACTCCGAGTGGTAAAACTCGGTGGTTTTCACGGCGATGGTTTCTTTGGAGTCTTGACACGTGGCGGCGTAGACGGTGGCTGACGAGCCACGGCCTATTGTTTTTTCTCTAGTCCAATTCATTAGAGAGAACTTTTTGAATATTTTTTTTTTCTTTTTGGTTGTTGTTAATGTGTTTGCTTTCACTCTGTTATTTCTGAAGGTATATATATATAAGGAAGGTTTTTTAATTTCTAATTTATTTATTTTTTGGGTAATTAGATAGTGTATACTTTTGGTAACATCGAGTTTATCTACCAACGCGAAAAGAAATTTGAATAAGTAACTGTATAAGATGATGTCGTCTATACACGTGGAGTTTTAAGAGAAAGTTGATTACCAATTTTTTTTGTGATTATAATCTGTAACCAAAAAATGTGTATAGAAGAAGAGAAACTCAAGAAACGTGAGCAAAGAGGAGTGAGGTGGCAGTGAGCGTATCTAACGAAAGGTTCGATACGAAGTGACGTGACACTTGGTTAGGAATGGTAGAGTGCTTATTGGTCATTTGAGTCTATAATGTTGTGACGTGTCGAAATTCAGGTAGTCAGGATAACTATTTTGTTTTCTGTTCCGACCGGAGTTCCGTATATGTCTCGAGCAACGTGTCGTCAGAGTTAGGAGGCGAGGAGGTCTCGACAAGTGTCCAAATCTTTCCTTAGGCTTCTTTTAGGTAAACAATACTAGTATATTCTTTATTTTAGGTTCACATGAATTAGGTAAAATACAAAAATATGGAAAGGAGACGTACGGATATTTGATAGATTTGAAGCTTTGGTCGATAGTATTTATGTTCTTCGCATTTGGAGATTTGTTCGTTACATTTCTTGTATATATATTTGAAATATCATAATATTTCAGAGCAAAACAACCATATATGTACCGCATATAAAATATTTGGAATTTATATATTTTTAAGAAAACATGAATGCCAGAACAAATTGAAACTTTGGTTACTTTTAGCATTAAGTAGAAAAAAGCACGGTTATAATATTTTAACTCTTTTTTTTTTGTAAATAGTGTAGTTGGTTTACTATATTCAAATTGTCAATAATTTCCAAGAACGGAATAAGATACTAGGAAGAGTGGTGGCTATACCAACTGCCAGTTGAGATTTTGAATGAAAGTAGCAGCCATCATATATTAACTCATTAACCAAACTTTCGTTAAACTTCTAATGAATACTATTAAATATTAATTTTGTGAATTTTAGTCAATAAATTTAATATATGTGAATTTTGTAAGGAAAAGCTACATGATGAGTTTACCTAAATGAAGTGTACTGTTGGGTGGAAAGATAGGGAAAACGAATTTGGTCAGGCATTTACGGCTGTCCACTGCGATACGCACATTCACAGCTCATACGCACATGTACGCTTTATTATTAACCACATGCAAATTAACTCCCACATTCATATTCACATGTTTTTAATATTTACGTTTTTACAAGAAAAAATATTGTACTATTATTATGATTTTTAATAAGTTGGCTAGCTGAATTTGATCTACGCATAAATCTAAGCATTTGACGAATAATTGTAGTAACCATGTGAATTTTGAAAGGTTGCACGTCAGTGCGCGTACATGTTCAATGGAGCTAGCTAAAAATTTCAACCTACATAATAAACATATTTAATTTGATTATTGTTATGTAGTATTATTTAGCAATATGACACCGACATGCTGCTAGGAAGCGGCTATGCCGACCACATCAATTGGCACTATAGCAGTTGAATATCATTTTTGAAATTTGGCGGTAGTTACATATTAGTAATATTTCTTTATAAACAGGGAGAATTTGATGTCTAACCAAATTTGCAAGTGAAATTAAGCATATAAATAAATATCTCTCTGTTGAAAAGGAAAGAATATGTAAATATGCTCCGACTAATTAAGTTCTTTGATATAAAACTTTTTTTGTACGTATGCTTTTAAGGCGTGGGAGTGTAGGGATCGACAACACGTAGCATGAATACAAGGAGAAGTGAAAAAGGTTCTTGTAAATGATGAGAGGCAGCCTACTTCAAGCAACAACCTACTCAATTCAATTGTTGCATAGTAAAATTAAGAAACCAAAGTAAAAGGTGAAAATGGATATACAATTTTCTGAAAAATGCTTTTCCTTATATATATAAATATCAAAAAAATAACGGATAATGTTTAAGACTACTATTTTCTGATCATTAACATACTAGAACAAAAAAATGATACTATATATAATTTGTAAATATGAATATAAGCTAAAGACCAAGTCTGATGTTACACATGGTATAGGGAGAATAGAGCGGTTTTGTTGCTTCAAAGTACAAACTTTTCATGTCAATACCAAATAAAAATGAAAGAGTATGATATAAGTAACTCGTATAATTAATGATTCTCTCTGTTATTGGAAAAAAACAACCTGAACTTTCTCTTTGATGATGGACAATGATGATGATATTATACATTGTTTTGGTCAAATGATAATGATATTGTATATCAGCTTAATGTATTACTAAATAAACCAAATGCTAGTATATATGAACAAAAATGATGAAGAAGCAAAACTACATAATGATAATAATATAATTATGCTCAACTGCCGACTCAGTTTTTTGTTAATATACCAGCTTAAATGTATATTTGTAAGAACATTTGATGGAGCAAAAATGTGAAATAAATACAATTGATACAACTTGCAGAAAACATGTTAAACATTCAATTCAATTTGCTCCAATGTAGCTCGAACGTGAGCAATTGAATCGGTTAGGTGAGGTTGATTCTGTTTACAGAATTATAATCCAGTTTGAGTTTGGAGGTGTATGGAGACTGAATCGATTTATTGTAGTGTGTAAGTGTAACTATTCATACCAGTTGTTTTTCTGTCAGATTTTTCAGTTTAGGACTTTAAATGATTTTTCTTTCCAAGTACAATGAAGTTACTACATAACACATCAGTCACTGACTGCACTCAAAAACCCAACGTGGCAAAACGTCATTCACTCTATATTTCCAGTTTGTGATTTATCAGCAATACCACAGCCAGTGAAATTCCAAACGAATCATTTCATATGATTACAATGATAAAGTATGAGAGAATCGTTATTTTAAAAAGGTGTTGGCTTGGAGAAGTTCAAAAATATCAAATTGTAAAGTGTCAATAAAGTTACAGTTATATACTCACAAATTACACTATTCATTTAGTCATGGTTTATTAGTTACCAAGTAATATCAATTCTTTTTTTTTTTTTTTTTTTTTTGGTCAATATCAATTCTATATATAATAAAGTAGTGTAAATACAAATAAGTATTATCACTTTAATTGAGTAGTTATTCAATATTCATTTTTGAGGTTCAAAAGAAATAGGAGGACTAGAAACTAATTATTCTTAGAAACATATAATTTGTTGCGAGGCTTGTAAGTTACTGATTACTGATCAAATTAAGTGGGTTCTCCAACAACAAACAATTCACTTGTGTTGTGTCATGCTTATGTATACATCACATAAGTAACCTATAATATTATTAAATGTAATTTCCCATGGCAAAAACACGGTCCATTCTATCACGTTTAATACATTTCTATTTTTCTTTATATATTAAAAATTTGGTAAAGTATACCCCATGAATTAATGTTATAAAAAGATATTGATGAAAAAAGATTGGTTACTAAATAATTGTGTACATTCATATCAAACCAATCTTCATCTTCTACAAATAATAACGTGTATCATGTGGATTCACATAGTTTACAATAAAATATTGGTGCTGGCGAGACCTCGAGAAAACGATTGATTAACAAAGTTTCGTCGGTTCTATATGTTTTATTATTAACGTGTGATTTAAGTGACGGAGTAGTGCATCTCTGTAGTTCTTAAGATTTCTTTCTTGATACAGAGATTGAAATCTTCATAACGTATTCTGTTAAAACCTTAGCCTTTCGTGTTATCAACAACAAAATCAGCTGATCAATCAATATTGATAAATACATGGCAGATTTTAATATAGATCATTACAGAAAATAAAGACACATGATTTCAATCTCACAACGTTGACATTCCAGAGACTAGGAGCCTTGAACTCACAAATGGACCGTAAAACTGGTCTAAGACTAGCATCATTTGTTGGCGACAAACAACAAAACGGATCTTTGGAGTTATTGAAAATGAAATATATACGTGAAACAAAAAATCTTTCGAGCCCCAAGAAAAACATGAGAGGCGAGAGATACATTATAGAGTACAGTGTATTAATATTACTCTGCCTTGGAGACTGGAGGCACAGAGAGTTTGGTCTCGAGCATAAACGAGAGATCATGCATCTGTGACATCAGCTCTTCCGCAGCATCACTCTTTGACTTGCGAGATGTTGTTGTGCTGCCTACAAGATCAAGTGTTTGATCTTTACCATCAGTAGTATCACTGAAAACAAAAGAGTTGAACATGTTATTTACACCTCAAGCTTCTTATATGAAATGAACATTGCGTACAGTGATTAGTGAATCAGAAGTTTAGGAATAAATAAGAAACCTCTCTAGGGACGAAGTTCCGGAAGGCATGGCTTTGACTTCCTCTGAGTTGGTTTGGCCTCCAGTACTTTCCGAAAACCAATCAGAAGCAAGGTCTCTGTGATGGTTATTTTCTCCAAACAAGTTCTGCTCAGCAGATGAATTTACATGGTTCGTGGGAGGCTGCACAGGTGTTTGCAAAACGGTTGGGGATGTGAAACTATCCCAAGCTCCAAAGAGATCATCTTCTTGACCTTTGGCCATGTCAGATATCACGCCTGTACCAGTATTCTGCTTCTCATCCTCTTGGGAACTTTCCACGGTTCGCGGAAGCAGATTACTAGGAGTCTTGGGGTTAACTGAGCTTGCAAAATCATTCCAGTCATCGTCACCATCATTATCATCCATAGGTGTCGTCTCAACAGCTTTGTTTTCACTGGTTTTCCATAAATCATCTCCAATCCAATCAATATCCATGGATGTTCCATTTCCTTCTACAGCTTGTCCCTCATGAACAGTATGGTCGTTGTTTTGAGTCTTGCCAGTAACGTCACCAAACAAATCATCTTGCAGCCAGGCACCAGCTTTGGAAACATAAGCAGTTGAAGAATCTGCTGTTTTTTCATGGAATAAATCTTTTCCGGAACCAAAAACAGAATCCATATGAGCAGACAAATCAACTTGAGAATTTACTAACGGATCGCCACTAATATTTTCCTGGGAAACAGATTGAAAGTCAGAATCCCAATCAGAGGAAGAGGCAACAACCTTTTCATCGAAAGACTTGATGCCAGCACTTGATGATAATGCTCCCTCAAACAAACCAAAACTTTCATCTTCTTTAGAAGCAATATTTCTCTGAGCATCCTCACCCTCGAATAAACCAAGATTACCATCCTCTTTAGAAGAACTATTTCTCTGAGCATCTTTACCCTGAAACAAACCAAAACTCTCATCGTCTTTGGAAGAACTATTTCTCTGAGCATCTTTACCCTGAAACAAACCAAAACTCTCATCGTCTTTCAACGAACTATTTCTCTGAGCATCTTTCCCCTCAAAGAAACCGAAACTCTCAGTATTTTTAGAAGAACTAGTCCTCTGATCATCTATCCCCTCAAACAGGCTTAGCTTTTCATTCTCTTTAATTGGTTGCCTATCATCTTTCCCCTCAAAGAACCCAAAGTTTCCCTGCTCTGCTAAAGAAACACTATCCTGAGCATCTCGTCCCGCAAACAAACTAAGACTCTCATGTCCTCCAGATGAAACATTCTTCTCAGCATCTTTTCCATTAAACACACCAACATTTTCACTCTGCTGTGCTTCAGCAACTCCTTGACTCTTCACACCATCAACCAAGCTAAGACTACGTGGATCCTTAAAATCATCATCCTCCTGTTTGCTCTCAACCGGATCCACTTTGAAAATCTCTCCCCTTCCTTCAACGAAATAATCATCAATACTAATCCCTCCTAAATCCAGACGGTTCTTATCATCAACTCCACTGTTTAAACTCTCTCCTTCTCTTGCACACCATTGTACTTCAAAATCAAGAAGCTCACACACAGCAATTCCCTTTGCCACAAGCGCCTTACCTCCTATTCTTGATCCATCCGTTTCCTTCAGTGGCTCTACCATCTCCTGCAGATAAAACCGTTTCATAAAATTCTTCTTCTTCACAACAACACAATCAATCAATCAATCACACTCTTAACATCTACTAACAATATTCTCATCAATGCACAATCAATAGAATGAATTAACGATCGAGATTTGATTGTTTTTTTACCGATCCGTCCAGATCTAGAGAGGTGAGAAACCATTTGTAACCACAAGTGGATGTAAACTTGATCGGATCAGGAGCGTTATCCCTCGTACGTTGCTGCTTGCCGCAGAAAACGCAGATCAGAGACTCGATTCCTCGCAGAAGCTTTCCTTTACAGTTACGGCAACGGAGGTAAGGAGCCGAAGCGTCGAGTTCCGCGATTGCCTCCGGAGCTGTGGGAAGGGTGAAGGTAGAGGAATCCGTGTAGTTTCCGAGCTTGGCCTCCTTTCGAAGCGAGACATTGAGTCGGTTGATCAGATCCGACGAGATCTCCGTCGCCATTGATTCTAGAGTTGGAGAATGAAGAAGAGACTTGCATTCGCTTCAGGGATCAATTATTAACCAAAGATAACCAGATTATTGTACCGGTACCGGTTTGATTAGATTTTGGTTATTTATTTTTTTAACTGTTACCGCCCGATTGGGATCAATTATTAACCAAGGATAACTAGATTATTGTACCGGTACCGGTTTGATTATATTTGGTTATCTATTTATCTTTTTAACTGTTACCGCGCGATTGGTTTGTGTTAACTAACTTTTTATATTCCCTATGTAATAATAATAACTGTCGATGAAATTAAGACAGCAAAGCGTCAAAATCCAAAATTCCTTTTTCACACTCGCCGGAGTTTCAACTCTTTTACGAAGACTCTGATCGACGGATCTGCGTGTTTTGATGGCGAGTCACGCGGCGGCGTTGAAGGTTGGGCTAGCTTTGCTGGGGATGAGCATGGTGGGTTATATACTTGGTCCGCCTCTCTACTGGCATCTCACTGAAGCTTTGGCTGCCGTTACCCACTCCTCCTCCGCTGTTGTTTCGGCTTCCTCTTGTCCTCTATGCGCCTGTGATTGCTCTTCTCAGCCTCTTCTCACGATTCCCGAAGGTAAATAGAAGCTGCAATTTTGGCTTGATGCTGTGTTACATAATTCTGTTGCCGGTGATTAGATCTATAGGGAAAGCTTACTCCTTTCTCTGTAGAGGATTGTAGGAGTCTAATTACTTATTGGTTACTGTTTGTTAGATCTACTTGAATTGTGTGCTTACTTGTGTTGTTGGCTCTATCCATCATAGAAGATTTTCTCATCTCTCTACAGTGTTGATTCTCTTATTGTTTGAGTTTAGATAGTATCATTAGTGGTTCAGGTTATGATCTGTAAACTTCTTGGATTGTAGGAGTTGAATTTTACTGCATACTGTTCTGGTCCTTGCAAATCAACACGTAATGCAAGTTGTATGGACTGTATGAATTGCGTTTGATTTTATAGCCCTCTGTCTGATACAATGGAGATTAAAGTTTCAATTATTAACATATTTTCAAAAAATAATTTCTACTTGTTACTTTTCTTATTGCAGGGCTCAATAATGCTTCTTTTGTCGGTGAGTTCATTGTGACTTGAACTGTATGAAGGGTCTTTAAAGTGTATGTAATGGCGTCTTACTACTTTAAATCATACTAGATCTTGACCCGCGCACCGGCGCGGGTTTAACTTAATTTGGAAAAGTATAATATATTCATAAGTCATCGGTTATTACCATATTTCAAAAACTATGATCGTATTAAATGTAATAGGACTGGGGTTTGATTTTGGGTTCAACTTTTGTTGGATTCTTTATGTTCGTAGTTTTTTAATTCTACAGATATAAGATATGTTCTGTTATCTATATAAATTGATTTGCGTTCGGTTCGATTCATTTGGTTTGAGCTCAGTTTGGTAATAATTATAATAACCGACTAATATCAGATAAATTTTTGGTTCCAATATGATAACGGTTTGGTTACGATTTCTAGGATTAATTTTAGATTAATCGGGGTAAAACTGATTTTGGGGGGGGGGGGGTAGGTGTTTCGGATAAATATCCAGTTACGAAAACAAAATTTTAATATTTTAGTTAAAACTATTCAAATATTTTGTGTCTTTATGATAATTTGAATAATGTAAAATACTTTAGATAAAATATATTTGAGTATTAAATTATTTGAAATGTAAATTGTTATTATCTTAAAAACTGATGTTATTTTTAATTTAGTCAACAATA